AGCATCGGCCGATCCTCGCTCATCAGCTCCGCGGCGATCTGCTCGAGAAAGACGAGATTGGAAGAAGGGGCATTGCTCGCGTCAGCTGGGGGCGAGAGAGTGAGCTGCAAGACGCGGCGGAGCATGAGATCTTCAATCTCCTGGAGGCTCCTCTCCGCCTTTGGGATCGCCATGGTGCTCTGCGCCTCCTACCCGACCTAAGCGCCTCACCTAGATTCCCTTCAGCTGATCGTCGCTCTCCACGGAAAACCCTAAGCGAACCATCCTCTACAAGAACCCTAAAACAAAGGATGAAAAAATATAAAATGAAGATTTTTCTGGTCTAGCCACTGCGTGTGGGAGTGTAGTCTGAGAGATTGTGGAATTTTTAATATACAATAGAAAGATATAATGATATCCACGAAATAGTTGGAATATAAAATATATGGCAACTAATATGTGCTTGCACATCGAAACCATTATATATGGAAAAATATCAATCACTTTTAGATTGTTATATATAATTGAAACATGATTATGTATATAATATTTTTGTCATAAAGTATATCATATATATATATATATATATATATATATATATATATAGTAATATATATATAGTATTACACCTTAGATTGCGATGCAAGACTGATACCACATTATTTAAGATGATGTGATGTTATTATAAATCTAGTGAAAGCCTTTTTTTTATCTCATTCTTATGTTATTAAGTGTAGATTTATGATCTTCAGATTGTGATCATTTCTTTTCTCTCATTTTGCACAACTATAATTTATTTTTAACATCTTTGAAGCATATTTCAATTATAACATATGATGGAAAAAATCATATGTGATTAATTGGAGCACAAAAGTTAGGTCAAAACATTTTTTTGGGTATTTGGGGCAAGTGCAATGGTTTTTCTATGAGTAAATAGAGTTTGTTATAGTGATAATAAAGTATTAATTTCTCATATTTTTAATTACACATTGAAGTTTTTAACATTGCAATGATTTATTGTGTTTGGCTTATTGCACAAACACATCTTACCAAATAAAAAACCTTTAAACACACAATGATGGTATGTTTAACTTATAACATCTAAAAGCATTCAAAATCTAATTTGCATACTGAAAAATATTATATCCATATTCCTGAAGTATAAACAATATAATGAGTAAAACCAAATTAACATGGAGTGGAAATTCTCTCAATATAAAAAATTATATTGAATTGGACTTTAATGACCACTAATGTATACTTATATGTAAACAAATGTTACACTTAAAATATTTTTTTGTGAGTCATACATAACAATAATTAAACACATATGTGTTTCTTTTCATATATTTTGCAAAATTTAGCAATTTTTTATAAACTTCTGACCCTAAGTACACCTCCTCTCTTGGCAAATGTACTATAAACAATAATGACTTAAAAAACAATCTATAAAAGTTTAAATATATATATTAAAAAGCCTTTTTCCCAAATTGATTAACCTTAAACATCCAAATATTTTTATGTGTCATTAGGTTTGAATGGATAACCTCTTAGGAAATTTAAATTTATAGTATCAAAAACAATTTTAAGTTTAACTTTATTAATTTTTAGGGGAATCATAGTGCATATTAAAATTGATATTTAATAATTGAATTTATTTTAGTTGAACTTGACCTAAAGGGTGAAGTGTCAAAAGAGCAAGGTTTTTAATAGAATTATAGTTCTTAACTTTTGTTTACGAGGGCGTAAACTTGTAAGGAAGCAATAAAAAAAATATTTATAAAGGTTTAAATATAAAATAAAAGACTTATAAACAAGAGTGTATCTTTTTTATAAAAGATTTTAAGATATTTGAGGTTAAGGATTTTAAAATATTTAGGGTTTGAGCCTCCTTGGATTTTGCTGAGCTGAATAAATTCTTTGGAAATTCAAATTCAAAAGTTAGTTATATAGGTTTTTTTAGGCTTTCTAAATTTTAAATAACAATAACATTGCAGACAATAATACATATTTGCCATACATATATGGGACAATAATATATACATGTGTTCAGAATATTATTTTGGGAGACATATATATGTGTTAATAAAAATTTAAACATATATGGGTGGCATAGGTGGAACCCTAAAGAATAAATACCCCATCATAAAATAAGCATTTCATATATACAAAATCTAAATCAGTGCCACATATGCAATTTTTTACATTACATAAATTTCACTCCATGTTAAATATTTTGATTGGTTAACACTTAAGGTTTATGGGTGTGATATTTTTCAGCATGCAAACTTGATTTTGAGTTTAGATGGCATGGGCTAAACTCACAAACACTCTATGTTTAAAACTCTCTCCCTAATGAGGGTAATGAAAAGTGTTTTGCACAATAAATTTAAGTGCAATAAACCATTACAATGCTAAAACTTTTAATGAGTAATTAAGAATGCAAAAAATCAATAAAGCTAACACATTACTAAAGTTATAACAAAATCTAGTTGCTCACAAAAAAACTATTGTGCTCAACACCCCAAACACCCAGAGAAATATTTTGTCTCACCTCCTAATAAAATCCAATGGCATAAAGATTAACTCTGTGATACTTACCCAACACTGTTGATTTTCAGCGAACATAGGGCTCATAATCACCTGCATTACATTGGCTTGCTTAAGATGACTTATGAGGATCTGGAGAACAAGAAGGGAATTCTTCTATAGTTGTTACTTAGCCATGGCTTCCTTTATTTTACTGCTTCTTCTTCTAAGTTAAAGATTTGTGAGTTGCCAGAGATCCTGGAGTCATCGAGGTTTGTGGTATGTGCATAATTCACAAGATAGATGAGAGTCTTCCTCTCTAATCCGCTAGCAGCAGACACTTTCAGGACGTAGAGGCTTGCAAGATATAATGGTCAATAGAGCTCTTGAACCAAATAGTCCAAGTATCTTGGAGAAAGAAGAGAGGAAGAAACCAAATACTTGAGAAGCATAAGAAGATGGCTGATAAACTGGAGCACGATGAGCTCGAGGATCAACAATTGATTCATACTAGGACTCAAGGAGTAAACCTTACAAACCAAGCAGCAAAATGAAATGGAGATGCTTCTCCAAAAGGGGACCAGCTAGGAGAACGATCTGTAGCAAATCCATCATATTTTCCTCCTCCCAGTGACATAAGAACATCCGAAGTAGTACCAATCAAACCTAGGGAATATGGTTGCCTTGGATTTTACAACTCGAGGACACACAAAGCACGAAAGAGAACGTTTTCTCCTTGAGGTTAGGTTAACCAGAGTTTCACATAACTAAATTTTAAAGTGTATGTAAAAAGAATATAAAGTGTTTATATGTAATATGGAACTAAGAAAAAAAATGTTTACAAACATCTCAGGAAGAAAAGGCTGCTACAACCATATCCACGCTTCTCTCAATCTCTTTCAAGTACTCAACGAGAATTCTTTGCTTGTAAGAGCCACCTTCCTGCTTATAAGCTTTTGCTCAAAAAACCAAGAAAAGAAAAAAAAAATGAAGCAATGAGACTTACTGTTCTAAGAAGAATTCGCTCAATGCGTTTCTTAGCCATTTTGCGAAGATCTACGCTCTTAACTGGGCCACCGCCCAAGTCCACTCCGGACCTTATCATGCTATCCCAAGCTTCGCTGTCAGCTATAAAAAATAGAAGTTGTCTAGCTAACCACGAGAAAAGGAAGATGCAAAAGCGAACCTGAGATTATATTCTCGAGCAGTTCCTCAGCTTCGTCTACGACTCCATCTGCTTGCATCAAACAAAGAAAAAAGGATTACAGCGTAAGTTTGTTGTGAGAAACGATTGAAGCTACAAACCTCTCTTGGCATAGCTTGTCTTTGCAAGAAACGTTGCTGCATAAAGTTGTAGCACTTTTTGTAGCAAAGCCAGCAATCCGGGCTTATCAGCATCTTTTTTGGCCTTTCTAGCAACGAAAAATGTGAAAATATATGAAAATACAAGAAAAGGAAACCTTCCATCCATACCTGACGAAGTTGAGCGTTCACTTCTGCGAGAAAACCATCATCCAAGTAGCCGGAACTTTCCCTGTGCATCAGCTCCTGAGATTGAGAAAGAAGGAAAAAGGAATTTAAAAAGAACAAACATCTACAAAAACAGAGATACCTTTCTCACTCTTTGCAGCGCATCAGGATCACGAGGCGGCCAGACAATTTCTTCGTTTTTGGAGCCTGCGACTGGCTCTAGAATCGCCATAAGCACATCTGTGGAAGTTTCAATCTTTTCCTGTTGATTCAGACAAATAAACATTCTTTCAGACAAAAATTGGGTGATAACAGATATGTGTAAACCTCTGTCTTCTGTACAATGCGCTCGACTAGCTGCATTATGTTGGATGCAAGCTCTTCAAGATCCACCTTCCAAATTTTATTTTTTACAACAAGATAATACGAAATGGATGAAACCTTACCTCATCATCTTCCGATTTACAAAGGTCTGTCCTGGTAGCCAGTCGAAGCCAGAACTTACTATCAAACGCCAGGACATTCTCCGCAACTATCTGTGGTAGCTAGAGAATAAAAACGAAAAACAAAACTTTCAGTGATCATTATTTAAGTAGCCAGTTCTTTCCGACTCGCTCACCAGTTGGGAGTCTGTGCTCCGCAGCTTATCTATCAATCGATCAATCTCTTCGCCGCTGCTCGATTCTGATGCCTGGCTGGAATCAGCAGCAGCAGCACAAATGCAAAAGTTTCTCCTTGTCTCCGAGCACCTGAGAGAGATATAAGCAACGAAATGATGAACGATGAACTCGAGTGGATGGCGATGGAGCAGGGACAGGCCATGGAGGACGAAGAGCTTCTCATGAATGAAGCGTTCTTTGATCAGATCCGGGGCTCCGATGGGTTTGAGGAGGGCAGGGGAGGGTTTGAGGATGTGAATGCCGGTGCGTGTCCAGCGATTTTTTTCCCTTTAGGTAGAGTTTGATTCTTGATTTGCAGCTGCTGTTTTGTAGCTATTCTTCGATTGATAATTATGGACACTCAAATCCAATAACTTAAGAGAATCAAAGCTGATTTGTTTCGTTCAGAATCCCCTCCCTTTTCTTTTGAAGCTGTTGTTGCAATGGCGACAATGGCGGCTGCTGCTGCTTCAGCATTCTGCTGTATTCGGTCTTCCAATGGAAATGGCCACTGGGTAACGAGGGTTCTCCGGTGTTTCAGATGTAAATCTCTTTCTTTCATATTTTATTTTGTTAGGCTTCTGGATACGTTCCAACGAGGCCCTGGGTTCTTCGAGTTCATAGCATTGCGGAGCCGAATCTGCGAATGTGAGTCACCTCCTACCCTGTGTTTTGTTGGTTTTTCGTTGCTTATATCTCTCTCAGGTGCTCTGAGACAAGGAGCAACTTTTGCATTTGTGCTGCTGCTGCTGATTCCAGCCAGGCATCACAATCGAGCAGCGGCGAAGAGATTGATCGATTGATAGATAAGCTGCGGAGCACAGACTCCCAACTGGTGAGTGAGTCGGAAAGAACCGGCTACTTAAATAATGATCACTGAAAGTTTTGTTTTTCCTTTTTATTCTCGTTTGATAGTAAGTTCTGGCTTCGACTGGCTACCAGGACAGACCTTTGTAAATCGGAAGATGATGAGGTAAGGTTGACAATGCCCAAATGCCCAAATGCCTTACAAATTCTGCTAGCCCAAATATTCTGTTTAGCAGGTCAGAACACTCCGTCTATTTACAAAAGATTCTGTTTACAAAAAAAAGGGAGGGAAAAACATCAATCCACAAACGGCAGAGGCACCGACTTGACAGCACGAAACTTTCCAACGTTGTTGAAATGCTCGTTCTCCAGCCTAGATCAAAGACATTGCGAATTTTAGGGCCAGAGAATCGAAGAGATGGAAGAATGTGACGAGATTTACCTGTAATAGTTCCATTGTCCACGCCTGATAACTTCCAAGCTAGCCACGATGAGCGACAGCCCCTTGGGATTTATCCCTGGCATCGAAATCGGTATCAAGGATTGGAGCCACGCGAATCTCAGCAAAATGTTTGACACCTACATTGTCACCGAGAGCTTTAGAACTGAAACCGATAAGTTGATGGCAAGAACTTACAATGGCGAAGTAGTAGACCGACTTGTATGGGATAGCGAGCTTGTCCCTGAGCCAGGGATTGGCGGAGTTTCGCTCGAGAAGGCCCCAGTCGTAGACTAAATCCCAGTAAGTTGAGACAATGGCTGCTGTGGCTGAGATGGCGATGGTGAAGCCCAGCAGCAGTGGATCCTTGTAGTATCCGTAGGCCAGCCTCGCTGCCACGGCCAGGATCGCCGAGAAGTATTTGAGAGCGTTGTACAGCTGCATCACATCCTTCTCATCGTACCAACGCCGTAGACACTGTCATGAGGAGAAGGAGCTACGTAAGTTACCAAGGAGGAGCTCAACAGAATCTGCGAGACGCATGAAGTTACCTGCGAGAAACGGCACCAGTAAGGTAGCAACGCCATGACGAATCCAAACGTGATGAAGGTCGGGTTCTTGAGGCAGGCATTGCTGTTGCGGTCCTTGAAAAATCCACCACCGAAGTAGCATAGAACGTATTCCAAATCCCTCAGTGCCGGAACCTGCAACTCAAAGTTTGTCACAAAGCTGAGAATGAGGCTGGCCGATTTTACCTGACTCGTAAGCTGGTCTGCGAGAAGAAAATCCGTGATGATAACCTGTCATACAGACAAAACCATGAATACCAACTTGATATATCACGAGAGACACTGCGAACCTTGTAGAATGGCGTCAATAGGCAATGCCAAAGGGCGTTCAGGAAAAAGTAACGGGTGGCGCGGTAGAGTATGTTGAACGGCATAAACAGAAGCACGACCATTCCCTGAAGTACAACACGGAAGTTCAGGCATTTGGTACAAAAAATCTTCTAAAGCAAAATCCTTACGGCGACAACGAGGAGCGGGATGATTTCCTGATATGTTTGGCAGCATATCTCACCAGCCGTCACTTGCAAGTGTAGTATCAATCCACTCAGAGCTAATGTGCTCAGCCCCGTTGCGAGTAAAAACACATCTCGGAAGCGTAGCTCGGACTTTCGGTTGAGCCCAAGAATAAACGTGTGATTTATTCTGGTCCTTCTCCACATATATATGTTTAGTCCGTAAAGGAAGAAGTGCAGCATTACTGCTGCAAGCATACTGTAAAGAGAAGTATATCTCATGAGAAAGTTAGACAAAGATATTAGCTGAGGTCTCACCTGAAAATCGGGAACACTGCATCCATGTATGTCGTAGCATATTCACGAACATATAGCCTCTCGACGCGAATGGTTAAAACGAGAGACACTAGAAGAGCAACAGAGAGACCAAAGAATACACCTGCGCAAACAAAGCTGTTAAGTTAACCAGGCACCTTGAGGACTCTCAAGAACATCGCATTACCTACAAAGAATGATATCCGGTGCCTCTCATTCCGGGCCTCGGGTCTCAAAACTTGCATTGCGTCGCGACGGTTTGAATCCGTGAAATGCTTGGTGAAGAGTACCTCTACTTTTTCCATAAGCTTTTGGATCTGAAAGTGAGAAACATCGAGTGGCATTGACACCGATGGAGAATATTAATGTGCGATCACTTACAATCTCAGATTGTCCGATGTATGAATCTTCTACGGCTTTCATGTACTTCCTTCCAAGGTTCCGCTGAGTAACCTGGAGGCATCGTACAAAGAATCTGTGTCAATTAAACCGGTGGATGTCAAAAAGCTGGCTGACCTTGTCGTATTTCTTCAGGAGCTTTGAAAACGCAATTATGTTCAATGAGCTGCAGAGGAAAAGGACAACATGAAAACACGAACTTTCGAAAAGCGAACTTACGTACCAAAAGTTTCTCAAGATGTAGAGGCCCTTGTAAAACTCCACGAAGGCGTTCTGAAGCATCTCCTCGGCTCGCTTCAGTCGCCGCGAGTTTAAGTTCGTGATGGACTTGTTGGCCAGCTCCGCGAAGAGAGCAGCCAGCGCGTCGGCTGGCTTCGCCGCAGGGATGTCAATCTTTATCTGTCGCACGCTCCCTCCATCTTCCTCCACCACGGACAGGTGGCCATGGCTGCTAGCGTTGCTCTCCCCGTTTCCAGCGTCTAAGTTGTCCACGGATTTCTTTGCCGAGAGGAGAGCTTCCATCTGGGAATCCAGCGCCGTCGCCTGCGTCACGAGCTCCTTCTCCTTGGACTTGTAAAACTTGTTGAGCTTGGCCAGCTCCTCATCGAGCAGCCGAAAGAACGTTCTCTCGAGCTCGTTGTGCGGGCTACCAACACCCAAGAACGCTGTCTGGAACTCCATGCCATCGCTAGTTTGCTTTGGCTCGATCTATATCCACAAAAGAAAAAGTGTCACAACGTTAAGTGAATCCCGAAGAAGAAGAATCTCATACCATGATCATCTCTTCCTCCCGTGCTTCCGGAGAGGTCGGCGATCGCGCCCCCCGCGGCGAATGCGCATGTTGGAATCCGCTGACGAGCCTCCGGAAGTTTGAGATCCTCCTGGAGAGGTGCGGCTCGCTCTCCTCTTGCCATTGCTTCTTGATCTTGGCCATATGCTTGACGATCTCCTTGCCCTGCCGGTAGTCCAAGTACGCCTCCCTCCATTCCGGGACCTGCTGCGTCTCAAACTGCTTGCCAAACTTCATCGCGATCGAGATCGATTCAGCGCGAGCGACAAAGAAATATCGATCGGCCCTCCCTCCTCGCAGATCCAAATCGGCCCCACTCTAATCGAAATGCTGCTTTCTCAGATCGAAAATCTCACCTCGCACTCCGCTTCAATCCAAATGCCAGTTAAATCTCATCTACTGCGGGAGCTGGAGAGATTTCCAGCGTTATAAGCTAGGGCTTTATTAGAGCTCTATAGAAGTCATTACAACTCGATCCACTCTAATGTGTCAGAAGAAAATCACCATAGCCAAACACACTAGGACAGACTGTTTGGCACACGTGGAAGAAATGCGGATTAATATATATAGCCTCTTGACCTGGACTTGAGTACGTTAGAGAGAAAAAAGGCTTTCAAAGGATATAGTAAGCAGTCATGTGATGTTTCTTGTTGGAACTTAAATATCAAAAGGGCTGCAACCAATGATGATTCGTGGACATCAACTATTATATAAGTGGAACTGAGGTTATTTTGCCCGTACACAAAAGTTTTAGTGTTTTTATACACATGTCCAAAGGAGCCAGCAGTAAGCGCGAGGGATATATCCGGAAAGATTTCAATCTTGACAAGGCCACTTGATTTTTCTTTCCCTACTCCTTCTCTGCGCTTGTCGCCACCGATGAAGATGTTTGGACTTTTTGGACTTTTTGTGCGCGTTGGCGTGGCTCCGGCTCGGCTTCTTCACCTTCTTGCTACCACTGGAGTGCCAAGTTTTCTAGTCAGTTTGCTTGAGAGTGCAAGCTCAAGTTTGACTCTTTACCTGAAGGTACTCAACACCAAATGCATCGCTACAGCCGCTGGTAGCACCAAAACCGCCATCGCCTAAGAGAGGAGAAGTAAATTAGAGCTGGCAAACACGCAACCGGAAATAAATCTCTTACGAGAAACCAAACGAGCTCTTTACTCGCCACCTCGTGCTTCAATAAAAGCCCGCGAACTGAGTTTTGCATCTGAAAGTAAGTGAGAAGAATCAGAAGCTGCCAGTAATATTCGGCTTCTAAGACTTACCTTATTGTGATAATTTACAGCCGAGGACAGTGCCTCCTTGGAAACTTGCTGCACCTTTTCGATGTGAGGAGCAGCGTATTCTTGAGATTTCTCGTAATAAGGACGGACGTATGCAGCAGCTTTGTCTACGTGCGGCCGAAGCTGTTTCCGTAGAGACTGCAAATGAGAGAAAGGATGTAAGAAACCTATCCGATACATGGACGATTGCAGACCTTGATGCGAGGCATAAGTTGTTCGTTCGCCTTAACAAAGTGGGGCGACAAGTGAACATTATAGGCCTCTGACACTTTAGAAGCCAGAACTTTGCCGTTCGTGGAGACAGTACTCCAGTACGCACTCGCAGAAGGGCCTACTTTCTGGAGAAAAAACGAAGCTCATCTTAAAGCCATTGACAAAAGCAAGATAATGTTTACCTTCTTAAGAGTATCTACGTGAGGTTGAGCCCATTCCTTCGCCGTTGTGGCGTGTCGAGAGGCCTGATACAGATAATGGTTATAGATGAGACATGCTATTGAAGAAATAATCGGCTTACGTGCTCCGCAGCTTTCTTAAAAACTGGTTCACCGTGCAGGGTCCAATACACTGCCGAAGTTGACTATACAGGCACAACAGATGAATGAAAATATCAACAAAAACACTTTTTACCTGTATCTGCGCTAGTCGGCCCGCGGTTCATGGTGGCAGCCAAGCCTCGTAAACCTGCAAATCTTGTCACAACGAACGACGAATGAAAAATCGAAACACCTTATAAAGTTCCTGAGCCTTTGCAGCTGCCTCGGACTTTGCCTTTAGCAGAAGATTCTCAGCTATCTTACGTGCCTCTTCAGCATCACGCGTTTTCTTTCGCAGATGGGTACTGCTCTTCTCGGCCTGGTTAGAAAAAGAGAATTTTTCTCGCATCAAAGGATTCGAAAAGGATAATCTTCGTGCAAACCTGTGCGAGTTTTGTGGTTAGCTCATCAACTTTGGCTTCCGACAATTCCAGCTTGTCTTGCAACTTCTGTGTGTTTTCCCTCGACTTTTTCAAGTTCCCCTCGAGTTGTTCCACCTAAAAGTCGCGGTGTTACGACAGAACAACAAGAAAGTACGACCGACAAATTCCACCACCTTTGATAATTCTTCCGCCTTTGCTTTAAATTTTCTTCTCCAAATCGCCAGATGCCCAGTTCTACCCACAGCACAGTCACTTCCAGTCCAAAAAATCGATCTATAGAACTCACCTGGAGAGAATCTATTTCGCTCTCCAATGAAACGATTTTTTTGCTCTTCTCAAAGGACTCTTGCTTCGCTTGCTTTAAGTTAGAATCTGGCAAGGAGGAAAAACACATTAGACAATGTATGGATGATAAAAGGAATTTTCTCTACCTGTGACCGATAGCCGTGCCTCCAGCTCTAATACTTGCTTGTGGAGCTCAATAATCTCCCGATTTAAAATATTATTTTGTGAGTCATACATATGTTTTACAATAATTAAATATACATGTGTTTTTTTCATATATTTTGTAAAATTTTACAATTGTTTACAAACTGCACCTTAGGTACACCTCTCCTTTTAGCAAATATACTATAAACAATTAACAATAATAATTCAAAAAACAATCTATAAAAGTTTAAATAAATGTCTTTTTCCAAATTGGTTAAGATATTTAGCGTTAAGTGTCATTAAGTTTAAATATGTGACATCTCAGGAAGTTAAAATTTATAGTATTAGAGTAGTTTTATGTCTAACTCTGTTAATTTCTAAGGGAATCACACTATATATTGAAATTGATATTTGGTAGTTAAATTTACTTCGGTTGGATTTGACATAAAGGGTAAGGTGTCAAGAGAATAGAACTTTTGGAAGGACTGTAATTTTCAATTGTTGTTCATAAAGGCGTAAACTTGTAAGGAAGCAACTAAAAAAAAATAAATTTATAAAGGTTTAAATATAAAATAAAGGATTTATAAAAAAAAGTGTATCTTTTTTATATGCTTAAGGATTTTAAAATATTTAAGGTTAAGTGTCTTTGGATTTATAAAGCTAGATGAGTTCTTGGGAAGCTCAAATTCAAAAGTTAATTATATAGATTTTCTTAAGCTTTATTTATTTCATGCTTATTTTATGGCAGGGGTAGAAGCCTATAAAATGTATTACTAAAAAACACAAATATGTTTAAATTTTTATAACACATGTGTGTGCCTCACAAAATAATATTCTAAACACATACATGTATTGTTGTCCCCATTTTCACATAGTAAATAAACATGTATTATTGTTTGCCATGTATGCATGGCAAACAGACATATATATTATTATTTGCAATATATGTATGGCAAAGTCCAAATCAATGCCACATATGTAATTTTTCACACTATATAAATTTCATTCCATGTTAATTATTTTGACAGATCAGCACTTAAAGTTTGTGAATGTGATATTTTTCAATACGCAAGTTTTATTTTGAATTTGAATGGCATAGGCTAAGCTCACAATTTAGTGTGTAATTAAGAATGCAGAGTTAATGTGTTATAGTTGAACAAGATCCACTTGCTTGCAAAAAAATTATTGTTCTCAACACCCTAAGCACCTAGAGAAATGTTTTGCCTCACCTCTTAATAAAATCCAATGGCATAAACATTAGCTCTGTGATACTTACCCAACACTATTGCTTTTTAGGGAACATAGGGCTCACAATCAGCTGCATTACATTGGCTCGCTTAAGATGACTTATGAGGATCTGGAGAACAAGAAGGGAATTCTTCTATAGTTGTTACTTAGCCATGGTTTCCTTTACTTTACTTATGCACTAGCTTCTTCTTCTAAGTTAATGAGAGATCCTGGAGTCATCAAGGTTTGTGGTATGTGCATAATTCACAAGACAGACGAGAGTTTCCCTCTCTAATCTGCTAGCAGCAGACACTTTCAGGATGTAGAGCTTTGCAAGCCATAATGGTCAGTAGAGCTCTTGAACCAAAAGTATCTTGGAGAAAGAAGGGAGAAGCATTCAGAGTGAAGTAGACTGGAGCATGATGAGCTCGAGGATCAACAATTGATTCATACTAGGACTGAAGGAGTTAACCTTACAAACCAAGCAGCACAGTGAAATGGAGATGCTTTTCCAAAAGGGGACCGATCTGTAGCAAATCCATCATATTTTCCTCCTCCCAGTGACATAAGAACATCCGTGAGACAGCTCCACATGCTTAAGTATAGGGAATATGGTTAGGTTCAACAATTTTTCCTTATCTAAAATGAGGTTAGGTTAACCATAGTTTCACAAAGTAATCCTTTAGTTCATAACTAGGGTTTATGAGAAATGCAACATTACCTTGAAATTTTAAAATGCATGTAAAAAGAATAAAAAGTGTAATAGTTTATAAACAACTCAGGAAGAAAAGGCTGCTACAACCATATCCACGCTTCTCTCAATCTCTTTCAAGTACTCAACGAGAATTCTTTGCTTGTAAGAGCCACCTTCCTGCTTATAAGCTTTTGCTCAAAAAACCAAGAAAAGAAAGAAAATGAAGCAATGAGACTTACTGTTCTAAGAAGAATTCGCTCAATGCGTTTCTTAGCCATTTTGCGAAGATCTACGCTCTTAACTGGGCCACCGCCCAAGTCCACTCCGGACCTTATCATGCTATCCCAAGCTTCGCTGTCAGCTATAAAAAATGGAACTTGTCTAGCTACGAGAAAAGGAAGATGCAAAAGCGAACCTGAGATTATATTCTCGAGCAGTTCCTCAGCTTCGTCTACGACTCCATCTGCTTGCATCAAACAAAGAAAAAAGGATTACAGCGTAAGTTTGTTGTGAGAAACGATTGAAGCTACAAACCTCTCTTGGCATAGCTTGTCTTTGCAAGAAACGTTGCTGCATAAAGTTGTAGCACTTTTTGTAGCAAAGCCAGCAATCCGGGCTTATCAGCATCTTTTTTGGCCTTTCTAGCAACGAAAAATGTAAAAATATATGAAAATAAAAGAAAGGAAACCTTCCATCCATACCTGACGAAGTTGAGCGTTCACTTCTGCGAGAAAACCGTCATCCAAGTAGCCGGCACTTTCCCTGTGCATCAGCTCCTGAGATTCAGAAAGAAAAAAGGAATTTAAAAAGAACAAACATCTACAAAAACAGAGATACCTTTCTGACTCTTTGCAACGCATCAGGATCACGAGGCGGCCAGACAATTTCTTCGTTTTTGGAGCCCGCGACTGGTTCTAGAATCGCCATAAGCACATCTGTGGAAGTTTCAATCTTTTCCTGTTGATTCAGACAAATAAACATTCTTTCAGACAAAAATTGGGTGATAACAGATATGTGTAAACCTCTGTCTTCTGTACAATGCGCTCGACTAGCTGCATTATGTTGGATGCAAGCTCTTCAAGATCCACCTTCCAAATTTTATTTTTTACAACAAGATAATACGAAATGGATGAAACCTTACCTCATCATCTTCCGATTTACAAAGGTCTGTCCTGGTAGCCAGTCGAAGCCAGAACTTACTATCAAACGCCAGGACATTCTCCGCAACTATCTGTGGTAGCTAGAGAATAAAAACGAAAAACAAAACTTTCAGTGATCATTATTTAAGTAGCCAGTTCTTTCCGACTCGCTCACCAGTTGGGAGTCTGTGCTCCGCAGCTTATCTATCAATCGATCAATCTCTTCGCCGCTGCTCGATTCTGATGCCTGGCTGGAATCAGCAGCAGCAGCACAAATGCAAAAGTTTCTCCTTGTCTCCGAGCACCTGAGAGAGATATAAGCAACGAAAAAACAACAAAACACAGGGTAGGAGGTGACTCACATTCGCAGATTCGGCTCCGCAATGCTATGAACTCGAAGAGCCCAGGGCCTCTTTGGAACGTATCCAGAAGCCTAGCAAAATAAAATATGAAAGAAAGAGGTTTACATCTGAAACACCGGAGAACCCTCGTTACCCAGTGGCCATTTCCATTGGAAGACCGAATACAGCAGAATGCTGAAGCAGCAGCAGCCGCCATTGTCGCCATTGCAACAACAGCTTCAAAAGAAAAGGGAGGGGATTCTGAACGAAACAAATCAGCTTTGATTCTCTTAAGTTATTGGATTTGAGTGTCCATAATTATTAATCGAAGAATAGCTACAAAACAGCAGCTGCAAATCAAGAATCAAACTCTACCTAAAGGGAAAAAAATCGCTGGACACGCACCTAGAAAGGAGAAGAATACACGATCATCGCGCTCATAGAAAATCACGCATAAGGACGGGCTTCTTCACAGCGTTTGTAAATCCCTGAAGCAAAGAAAACGCTCAGCTATGCACTACAAAAAGAAGCGTCCGACCTCGTGAAATTTAAAGAGCAATGGCCTCGAATCTCTTTTAGCTGTTGAAACTTCCCGTTTGGAGGAGTGGCCTTCCGTGCTTCCTGTTCTAAACCTGCAACGACAGTGTGGATTTGAACAGCACAACGAGCCTACCTGTCAAAGAAAGAAGCTTTCTTCAAGACAGTGTTTGCCTTGACAACTTCGGTCTTAGATGTTGTCACGAGTTTTCCAGTGGATGTTGAAGCTGATACGATTGTCCTCTTTTCAATGGTAGTAGACTTGACAATGGTATTATTGTTGGCAGAACCAGATGGCTTCTGCTGGAATGGTTTAGAGGACCGCTTTGCAGTTTCGCGTTTTATCGCTTCTATTTCAACCTGAAATATCGCATTAAGCATGCATTCTTTGTGTGTGAGCTTCTGCACCTCGTGGCTCAGCATCTGTTGAATGGTTGAAGAAAGTTCTCCATGGCTGTGGGCGTATTCCTGATAGGCAAGGAAGAATGAAATTCAAAACTTATAAAACAGAAACAATAACGATTACCTTGAAGGTTATAAAGGTGTGCAGTGGAGGATCTAACAGGAATGCTTCCCCCGAGAACTTTTGTACTGTGAGATTGTCAGCCTTGGACTTTTTGTACCGAAGTCCATAACTTATCATTGTATCCACAAGCTGCTTAAGGTCTTCGCGTTCTTGCTGAGAAAGAAGATTAGACGCAACCTGCACGTACCACGGCATCAGCACGCTGAAAATACGTTATCTAGTTCTTACGGGCCGCAACTTGGGAGCCAAAATCGATAACAAAGGAGAAAGAACATCCTGGATCAAAGAGGGACACAAAATGGTTCGCGATAGGGCCGGTGTCATTGAAGTCAGCCACGACTTCAAAATTTCTGTGTTTGCTGCATGGACTTGACGATTTCTGGAACGACAGAAACCCATCAGTACAGACTTTCTACAATATTAAACCATACCTCTGAAATGATTTCGGCCACTCAAGCTTAGGCCGAACAGGCTGCGAAATCAAACGGCGAATAGCAAGTTTAAAAGAAGGTCGATACGCTGTTTCATGCAGAGTGAAAAAGGTCTTTGGAACAAGAACAAACGGTACCATTCAGAAAAAACTGCTGCTGCGAAGCTGTTTTTCGTCCAAAAATATCTGACGCGCCTATCACTTCCAGGCATTGAAGCTAAGAAGTAGCAATGAAGACCAATGAGGCAGACAAAAACCAATTTCGATATTTACCGTCTTTTGGAGGTATACATCATGATAATGCACATGCAAGAAGTTCTCAAAAATACCCTCCATTCCAAGGTCATACTCTCCGCTGCATAAAAACATTAGCAAATAAGCAAATAATTCTAGAACTTTAGAACGTACTGGTTCGCATAAACGTCATGGACCCGACTGAACTCCGTGTGTGCCTGCTTCATTCTGGTTCTGTTTCTAGTCCAGAATGTCTAGCAAAACCACTTAAGCAGATAGAAAATGAATTGGAAGCAACTTACCTCAAGCCATATGTCGAACATGCTGCTGGTCATGTCTTTTTTACCAATAACCTGAGAAGCAACTTCTAGCTGCAAAGTAGAGCGCCTTAGAAAGTTTGATAAAAAAAATGGCAGGATTACCGCTTTCAGCGACTGTCCGTTCCGAAACAAGAACTGAAGAGTGTTTAAACACGAGCGAATATCTGATTCTGTAATTCGAGTCAAAAATTTGCGCCGACAGCAATTGTTTGTTACCAGTGTGCACAGCGAGGGCAGCTAGAGCGCGTGTGTCCACCTTGTAACCTTCTGACTTGCAAATGAAATTTAGTCTGCATAGACACCGTGAGTGGTTTTGAAGAGCAAATGAAAAAGTTACAACCTTGTCACTATCCTATGAGGACTTGGAGGAGAAAATATATGAATCCTGCCAAAACTGCTGTTAAGATACAAAAGAGATGGTGTTGTGGTACCGGGCAATTTGACGCAAAGGCCGTAAGGCAGGAGCATAAAGGTCGTTGCAAATGCAAATGATCTGTGCCACAAAAGTTGGCGAGGTTCTCTATAGGACGCAAGCTTACGGGTCTAGATAGTCGAGCGATGGCAGTCTTCTTCCTTTGAGGTTTGGACATTTTATCGTCGTTATCATTTCGTGACACAGCCTTCGCCTCTGCAGAAAGCTGTAGCAAAAATGATTCAATTAACGTTTTGTAAATTGACACATACCAGATCAACTAAAAAACTGACAGACGATTTCCCTTCCGTGCCGCTGACCGCTCCGTCTATTTCATCAAGAATCTGTCAATGACATAGCATTCAGTAAATCTTCCACATTTTCTCTACGAGAGCAGTGAAAAATTACCAGACAATTTGGCTTAGAATCTCCTGTGACTGTCTTCATTTGAAGAGCATCCAAAATTTTGGTCTGAAAAGAGGAGGCTGTGCGATCATCACTGGCATTAATCTGCATGAGTTGAAACGATACATACAAGGAACTTGAATTACAGGAACATGCCAACCTCGACGACGCGGTATCCACAATGCTTTGCTGCAACATGTGCAAGCGTCGTTTTCCCAAGGCCCGGAGGGCCACATAAAAGAAGGACCTGCTTCAAAGAAGCCATAAAACTGTTGTACATGTAGCAGGGACCAAAGAGGTACCTTTTGATCTGGCCGGTCACCTGAAGAACTCTTATTATCACCTGAAGAGCTCTTGTCATGACCTGAAGAACTCTTGTTATCGTTGACGCTGTTCCATTTGCCCTTCGCCTCATATCGTTTAAACTTGTTATCAGAAGGTTGTTGCCCAAGCTTGTGTTGTTGCAAAGCTTTGAGAACCTCTTTAGGTGTAGAGTGCCTTGTAACACCGTAAACGCATAGATCCCACTGCTTCAACCAGCTTAAGACCTACTAATGAAAACGTTACACACATGAAACAATCCGTAAAATCATGACACACCTCTCGATTGATCTGTTCATCGCTCAAAAGCTCGGTGAACGACTTCGGCGAGTATTTATCAACCCACAGCTGGTCAATCCTCTCCGCCGAGACAGCGATAGGATCTTTTTCCTTCTCAGCGAGCTCGCAAGCCTTTGAGAAAATCCATGAAAATAAATTGATCAAGAACGAAAAGCTGCCATACTTGTTTGAACTGTTCGAGCTCCAGTTGTTCAATCATTTTCTCGATGGGCATCGAGAGAAGCTGGTCTGGAGCAACAAAGTCGAGTTAAGTTCGTCACGAGTCCAAATGATCATACCTTGTTTCTTCTCACGCAGCACCGGCTGAGGAGAGAAGTTTCTATCAACTTCGGCATAGACTCGTTCACCTGATGGCCCAGTTATGGAAATCAGCTCCCCGGCAATGTCCGCCGCACGCTTTCGCGGGAAATGGTGTTGATCCAATTCTTCGCGAAAATTTTCTTCCCGGCAATCTTCGAGAACCATGGTACTTTCCTCTTCCACGGCAATCGCGCATTCCTTTCTCGCTATAGCATCTTGGACTCTCCTTGATTTGATCGGCGACACGCACACATCGGGAATCACGAGCTTTCTCTTCACTATAGGGGAAAAGGAAAAATCCATGAGAAATTTCAGAATGTTGGCCAAACCTGGCAGATCGCGCTGCGCATCCTCGCCGCCGCCGGCATTCACATCCTCAAACCCTCCCCTGCCCTCCTCAAACCCATCGGAGCCCCGCCGCCGCTGGATCTGATCAAAGAATGCTTCATCCATGAGAAGCTCTTCGTCCTCCATGGCCTGACCCTGCTCCATCGCCATCCACTCGAGCTCATCGTCGCCAGGCTCCTCCATAGCCGCCACAACTCAAAGCCCGCCAAAATGCCTTACATAGTCTGCTAGCCCAAATATTCTGTTTAGCAGCTAAGAACATTCCGTCTATTTACAAAAGATTCCGTTTACAAAAAAAAAGGGAGGGAAAAACATCAATCCACAAACGGCAGAGGCACCGACTTGACAGCACGAAACTTTCCAACGTTGTTGAAATGCTCGTTCTCCAGCCTAGATCAAAGACATTGCGAATTTTAGAGCCAAAGAGATGGAAGAATGTGACGAGATTTACCTGTAATAGTTCCATTGTCCACGCCTGATAACTTCCAGGCTAGCCACGATGAGCGACAGCCCCTTGGGATTTATCCCTGGCATCGAAATCGGTATCAAGGATTGGAGCCACGCGAATCTCAGCAAAATGTTTGACACCTACATTGTCACCGAGAGCTTTAGAACTGAAACCGATAAGTTGATGGCAAGAACTTACAATGGCGAAGTAGTAGACCGACTTGTATGGGATAGCGAGCTTGTCCCTGAGCCAGGGATTGGCGGAGTTTCGCTCGAGAAGGCCCCAGTCGTAGACTAAATCCCAGTAAGTTGAGACGATGGCGGCTGTGGCGGAGATGGCGATGGTGAAGCCCAGCAGCAGTGGATCCTTGTGGTATCCGTAGGCCAGCCTCGCTGCCACGGCCAGGATCGCCGAGAAGTATTTGAGAGCGTTGTACAGCTGCATCACATCCTTCTCATCGTACCAACGCCGTAGACACTGTCACCGAGAGAAGGAGCTACGTAAGTTACCAAGGAGGAGCTCAAAAGAATCTGCGAGACGAATGAAGTTACCTGCGAAAAACGGCACCAGTAAGGTAGCAGCGCCATGACGAATCCAAACGTGATGAAGGTCGGATTCTTGAGGCAGGCATTGCTGTTGCGGTCCTTGAAAAATCCACCGCCGAAGTAGCATAAAACGTATTCCAGATCTCTCAGTGCCGGAACCTGCAACTCAAAGTTTGTCACAAAGCTGAGAATGAGGCTGTCGGAATTTACCTGACTCGTAAGCTGGTCTGCGAGAAGAAAATCCGTGATGATAACCTGTCATATAAACAAAAGCATGAATAACAAGTTGATATGTCACGAGAGACACTGCGAACCTTGTAGAATGGCGTCAATAGGCAATGCCAAAGGGCGTTCAGGAAAAAGTAACGGGTGGCGCGGTAGAGTATGTTGAACGGCATACACAGAAGCACGACCATTCCCTGAAATACAACACGGAAGGTCAGGCATTTGGTACAAAAAATCTTCTAAAGCAAAATACTTACAGCGACAACGAGGAGCGGGATCATTTCCTGATATGTTTGGCAGCATCTCTCACCAGCCGTCAATTGCAAGTGTAGTATCAACCCACTGAGAGCTAATGTACTCAGCCCCGTTGCGAGCAAAAACACATCTCGGAAGCGTAGCTCGGACTTTCGGTTGAGCCCAAGAATAAACGTGTGATTTATTCTGGTCCTTCTCCACATATATATGTTTAGTCCGTAGAGGAAGAAGTGTAGCAGTACTGCTGTAAGCATACTGTAAAGAGAAGTATATCTCATGAGAAAGTTAGACAAAGATATTAGCTAAGGTCTCACCTGAAAATCGGGAACACTGCATTCATGTATGTCATAGCATATTCACGAACGTATAGCCTCTCGACGCGAATGGTTAAAACGAGAGACACTAGAAGAGCAACAGAGAGACCAAAGAATACACCTGCGCAAACAAACTGTTAAGTTAACAAGGCACCTTGAGGACTCTCAAGAACATCGCATTACCTACAAAGAATGATATCCGGTGCCTCTCCTTCCGGGCCTCGGGTCTCAGAACTTGCATCGCGTCGCGACGGTTTGAATCCGTGAAATGCTTGGTGAAGAGGACCTCTACTTTTTCCATAAGCTTTTGGATCTGAAAGTGAGAAACATCGAGTGGCATTAACACCGATTGAGAATATTAATGTGCGATCACTTACAATCTCAGATTGTCCGATGTATGAATCTTCTACGGCTTTCATGTACTTCCTTCCAAGGTTCCGCTGAGTAACCTGGAGGCATCGTACAAAGAATCTGTGTAAGTCAAACCGGTGGATGTCAAAAAAGCTGGCTGACCTTGTTGTATTTTTTCAGGAGCTTCGAAAACGCAATTATGTTCAACGAGCTGCAGAGGAACAGGACAACATGAAACACGAACTTTCGAAAAGCGAACTTACGTACCAAAAGTTCCTCAAGATGTAGAGTCCCTTGTAAAACTCCACGAAGGCGTTCTGAAGCATCTCCTCGGCTCGCTTCAGTCGCCGCGAGTTTAAGTTCGTGATGGACTTGTTGGCCAGCTCCGCGAAGAGAGCAGCCAGCGCGTCGGCTGGCTTCGCCGCAGGGATGTCAATCTTTATCTGTCGAACGCTCCCTCCATCTTCCTCCACCACGGACAGGTGGCCATGGCTGCTAGCGTTGCTCTCCTCGTTTCCAGAGTCTAAGTTGTTCAAGGACTTCTTTGCCGAGAGGAGAGCTTCCATCTGGGAATCCAGCGCCGCCGCCTGCGTCACGAGCTCCTTCTCCTTGGACTTGTAAAACTTGTTGAGCTTGGCCAGCTCCTCGTCGAGCAGCCGAAAGAACGTTCTCTCGAGCTCGTTGTGCGGGCTACCAACACCCAAGAACGCTGTCTGGAACTCCATGCCATCGCTAGTTTGCTTTGGCTCGATCTATATCCACAAAAGAAAAAATGTTACAACGTTAAGTGAATCCCGAAGAAGAAGAATCTCATACCAGGATCATCTCTTCCTCCCGTGCTTCCGGAGAGGTCGGCGATCGCGCCCCCCGCGGCGAATGCGCATGTTGGAATCCGGTGACGAGCCTCCGGAAGTTTGAGATCCTCCTGGAGAGCTGCGGCTCGCTCTCCTCATGGCTTTGCTTCTTGATCTTGGCCATATGCTTGACAATCTCCTTGCCGTGCCGGTAGTCCAAGTACGCCTCCCTCCATTCCGGGACCTGCTGCGTCTCAAACTGCTTGCCAAACTTCATCGCGATCGAGATCGATCCAGCGCGAGCGACAAAGAAATATCCCTCAGATAGATCGGCTCTCCCTCCTCGCAGATCCAAATCGGTCCCACTCTAATCGAAATGCTAAGCTCGCTCTCTCAGATCGGAAATCTCACCTCGCCCCACTCCGATTCATCCCAAATGCCAGTAAAATCTCACTAAGCGCTGCCGCCGCAACAGGAGCTGGAGAGATTTCCAGGAAGCAAACAAAGAATGGGGACCTAGGAACACACGTTATAAGCTAGGGCTTTATAGAACTCTATAGAAGTCATTCCAACTCGGTCCACTCTAGGACAAACACACTAGGACAGACTATTTGGCACACGTGGAAGAAATGAGGATTAATATATAGCCTCTTGACCTGGACTTGAGGTGTACGTTAGAGAGAAAAAAAGGACGATGCCAATTTTATCCATCACAAAGGATAAAGTAGTAGAATTGTGACTTTACTGTTTCTTGTTGGAACTTAAATATCAAAAGGGCTGGAGCCAATGATGATTCGTAAACATCAACTATTATATAATGGAATTGATGATATTTGCGCGTACACAAAAATTTTAGTGTTTTTATACACATGTCCAAAGGAGCCAGGAGTAAGCGCGAGCGATATATCCGGAAAGATTTCAATCTTGACTGCCACTTCGTTTTTCTTTTTCTACTGCTTCTCTGCGTGCTTCTCTGCGCTTGTCGCCGCCGATGAAGACGACGACGATTGATGCTTTGACTTTTTGGACTTTTTGTGCGCGTTGGCGTGGCTCCGGCTCGGCTTCTTCACCTTCTTGCTACCACTGGAGTGCCAAGTTATCTAGTCAGTTTGCTTGAGAGTGCAAGCTCAAATTCAACTCTTTACCTGAAGGTGCTCAACACCAAATGCATCGCTGCAGCCGCTGGTAGCACCAAAACCGCCATCGCCTATGAGAGGAGAAGCAAATTAGAGCTGTCAAACACGCAACTGGAAATAAATCTCTTACGAGAAACCAAACGAGCTCTTTACTCGCCGCCCAGCCTGCCGACACCTCGTGCTTCAATAAAAGCCCGCGAACTGAGTTTTGCATCTGAAAGAAAGTGAGACGAATCAGCAGCTGCCAGCAATATTCGGCTTCTAAGACTTACCTTATTGTGATAATTTACAGCCGAGGTCAGTGCCTCCTTGGAAACTTGATGCACCTTTTCGATGTGAGGAGCAGCGTATTCTTGAGATTTCTCGTAATAAGGACGGACGTATGCAGCAGCTTTGTCTACGTGCGGCCGAAGCTGTTTCCGTAGAGACTGCAAATGAGAGAAAGGATGTAAGAAACCTATCCGATACATGGACGATTGCAGACCTTGATGCGAGGCATAAGTTGTTCGTTCGCCTTAACAAAGTGGGGCGACAAGTGAACATTGTAGGCCTCTGACACTTTAGAAGCCAGAACTTTGCCGTTCGTGGAGACAGTATTCCAGTACGCACTCGCAGAAGGGCCTACTTTCTGGAGAAAAAATGAAGCTCATCTTAAAGCCATTGACAAAAGCAAGATAATCTGTACCTTCTTAAGAGTATCTACGTGAGGTTGAGCCCATTCCTTCGCCGTTGTGGCGTGTCGAGAGGCCTGATATAGATAATGGTTATAGATATTATGCTTTATTTCGTTAAAGTGGGACTTATTCAGTAAAGTGGGACATTAATTAGCATGTGTCCACATGCCATTTCCTAGTACTTAATTAATATTTATTAATATTTCTATCAGTTTTTTAATTTATTTTTTTATATTTCACAATATTATAACACAAAATCATATGAAAAGTTTTTAATTTATAAATTATAAAGTTAAAACTTCAATTTTTTATTGTTGTTATAAAAATGGCATGTGGCCACACACCATAAGTGGGATAATGAAAAATCCCACTTTAACGAAATAAAGCATTATTGAAGAAATAATCGGCTTACGTGCTCCGCAGCTTTCTTAAAAACTGGTTCACCGTGCAGGGTCCAATACACTGCCGAAGTTGACTATACACGCACAACAGATGAATGAAAATATCAACAAAAACACTTCTTACCTGTATCTGCGCTAGTCGGCCCGCGGCCCATGGTGGCAGCCAAGCCTCGTAAACCTGCAAATCTTGTCACAACGAACGACGAATGAAAAATCGAAACACCTTATAAAGTTCCTGAGCCTTTGCAGCTGCCTCGGACTTTGCCTTTAGCAGAAGATTCTCAGCTATCTTACGTCTTCAGCATCACGTGTTTCTTTCGCAGATGGGTACTGCTCTTCTCGGCCTGGTTAGAAAAAGAGAATCTTTCTCGCATCAAAGGATTCGAAAAGGATAATCTTCGTGCAAACCTGTGCGAGTTTTGTGGTTAGGTCATGAACTTTCGCTTTCGACAATTCCAGCTTGTCTTGCAACTTCTGGCGTTTTCCCTCGACTTTTTCAAGTTCCCCTCGAGTTGTTCCACCTAAAAGTCGCGGTGTTACGACAGAACAACAAGAAAGTACGACTGACACCTTCTTTGATAATTCTTCCGCCTTTACCTCCAGACTCTGAATTTTCTTCTCCAAATCGCCAGATGCCCGCTTCTACCCACAGCACAGTCACTTCCAGTCCAAAAAATAGATCTATAGCACTCACCTGGAGAGAATCTACTTTGCTCTCCAATGAAACGATTTTTTTGCTCTTCTCAAAGGACTCTTGCTTCGCTTGCTTTAAGTTAGAATCTGGCAAGGAGGAAAAACACATTATACAACGTATGGATGATAAAAGGAATTTTCTCTACCTGTGACCGATAGCCGTGCCTCCAGCTTGTGGAGCTTGATAATCTCCCGATTTAAAATATTATTTTGTGAGTCATACATATGTTTTATAATAATTAAATATACATGTGTTTTTTTTCACATATTTTGTAAAATTTTACAATTGTTTACAAACTGCCGACCCTAGGTACACCTCCCCTCAGCAAATATACTATAAACAACCAATAATAATAATTCAAAAAACAATCTTTAAAAGTTCAAATATAAAGGAAAAATGTCTTTTTCCAAATTGGTTAAGATATTTAGAGTTAAGTGTCATTAAGTTTAAATATGTGACATTTCAGGAAGTTAAAATTTATTGTATTAGAGTAGTTTTATGTTTAACTTTGTTAATTTCTAAGGGAATCACACTATATATTGAAATTGATATTTGGTAATTAAGTTTACTTGGGTTGGATTTTACCTAAAAGGTAAGGTATCAAAAGAATAGAACTCTTAGAAAAATTGTAATTTTCAACTGTTGTTCATAAAAGAGTAAACTTGTAAGGAAGCAATTAAAAAGAAAATGATTTATAAAAGTTTAAATATAAAATAAAGTATCTTTATTATATCCTTAAAGATTTTAAAATATTTAAGGTTAAGTGTCTTTGGATTTATATAGTGTTGAGTTAGATGAGTTCTTGGGAAACTCAAATTCAGAAGTTACTTATATAGATTTTCTTAAAGCTTTCTTTATTTCATGCTTATTTTATGGCAAGGTGGGTAGCATAGGTAAAAGTTTATAAAATATATTACTGAAAAAAACAAATATGTTTAAATTTTTATAACACATATATGTGCCTCACAAAATAATATTTTAAACACATACATGTATTGTTGTCCCCATTTTACATAGCAAATAAGCATGTATTATTGTCTACCATGTATACATAGCAAATAGACATATATTGTTATTTGCAATATATGCATGGCAAAGTCCAAATCAATGCCACATATATAATTTTTCACACTATATAAATTTCACTCCATGTTAGATATTTTGACAGATCAGCACTTAAAGTTTGTGGATGTGATATTTTTCAATACGCAAGTTTTATTTTGAATTTGGATGGCATAGGCTAAACTCACAATCACTGTATGCTTAAAGTTATTTCCCTAACAAAACCATTATAATGCTAAAATCTTTAGTGTGTAATTAAGAATGCAAGAAATCAATAGAGTTAATATGTTATTACAACTACAACAAAATCCACTTGCTTGCAAAAAAATTATTGTTCTTAACACCCTAAGCACCTAGAGAAATGTTTTGCCTCACCTCCTAATAAAACCCAATGGCATAAACATTAACTCTGTGATACTTACCCAACACTATTGCTTTTTAGTGAACATAGGGCTCACAGTTGGCTGCATTACATTGGCTTGCTTAAGATGACTTATGAGGATTTGGAGAACAAGAAGGGAATTCTTCTTTAGTTGTTACTTAGCCATGGCTTCCTTTACTTTACTTATGCACTAGCTTCTTCTTCTAAGTTAATGAGAGATCCTGGAGTCATCAAGGTTTGCGGTATGTGCATAATTCACAAGACAGACGAGAGTTTCCCTCTCTAATCTGCTAGCAGCGGACACTTTCAGGATGTAGAGCTTTGTAAGCCATAATGGTCAGTAGAGCTCTTGAACCAAAAGTATCTTGGAGAAAGAAGGGAGAAGCAGTCAGAGTGAAGTAGATGGCTGATCAACTGGAGCATGATGAGCTCAAGGATCAATAATTGATTCAGGAGTTAACCTTACAAACCAAGCAACAAATGGAGATGCTTCTCCAAAAGGGCACCAGCTAGGAGAACGATCTGTAGCAAATCCATCAAGTGTGCTTTTTGCAAGCTATTTTCCTCCTCCCAGTGACACATCCGTGAGACAGCTCCACATGCTTAAGTATGGCAACAAGATCAGTAAGTAGTACCGTGACGACACACAAAGCACGAAAGAGAACGTTTTCTCCTTATATAAAATGAGGTTACGTCAACCATAGTTCCCTAATCCTTTAGACCTTGAAATTTTAAAATGTATGTAAAAAGAATAAAAAGTGTAATAGTTTATAAACAACTCAGGAAGAAAAGGCTGCTACAACCATATCCACGCTTCTCTCAATCTCTTTCAAGTACTCAACGAGAATTCTTTGCTTGTAAGAGCCACCTTCCTGCTTATAAGCTTTTGCTCAAAAAACCAAGAAAAGAAAAAAAATGAAGCAATGAGACTTACTGTTCTAAGAAGAATTCGCTCAATGCGTTTCTTAGCCATTTTGCGAAGATCTACGCTCTTAACTGGGCCACCGCCCAAGTCCACTCCGGACCTTATCATGCCATCCCAAGCTTCGCTGTCAGCTATAAAAAATAGAACTTGTCTAGCTAACCACGAGAAAAGGAAGATGCAAAAGCGAACCTGAGATTATATTCTCGAGTAGTTCCTCAGCTTCGTCTACGACTCCATCTGCTTATATCAAACAAAGAAAAAAGGATTACAGCGTAAGTTTGTTGTGAGAAACGATTGAAGCTACAAACCTCTCTTGGCATAGCTTGTCTTTGCAAGAAACGTTGCTGCATAAAGTTGTAGCACTTTTTGTAGCAAAGCCAGCAATCCGGGCTTATCAGCATCTTTTTTGGCCTTTCTAGCAACGAAAAATGTAAAAATATATGAAATTAAAAGAAAGGAAACCTTCCATCCATACCTGACGAAGTTGAGCGTTCACTTCTGCGAGAAAACCGTCATCCAAGTAGCCGGAACTTTCCCTGTGCATCAGCTCCTGAGATTGAGAAAGAAGAAAAAAGGAATTTAAAAGAACAAACATCTACAAAAACAGAGATACCTTTCTGACTCTTTGCAACGCATCAGGATCACGAGGCGGCCAGACAATTTCTTCGTTTTTGGAGCCCGCGACTGGCTCTAGAATCGCCATAAGCACATCTGTGGAAGTTTCAATCTTTTCCTGTTCATTCAGACAAATGAACATTCTTTCAGACAAAAATTGGGTGATAACAGATATGTGTAAACCTCTGTCTTCTGTACAATCCGCTCGACTAGCTGCATTATGTTGGAGGCAAGCTCTTCAAGATCCACCTTCCAAATTTAATTCTTTACAACAAGATAATACGAAATGGATGAAACCTTACCTTATCATCTTCCGATTTACAAAGGTCTGTCCTGGTAGCCAGTCGAAGCCAGAACTTACTATCAAACGCCAGGACATTCTCCGCAACTATCTGTGGTAGCTAGAGAATAAAAAGGAAAAACAAAACTTTCAGTGATCATTATTTAAGTAGCCAGTTCTTTCCGACTCACTCACCAGTCGGGAGTCTGTGCTCTGCAGCTTATCTATCAATCGATCAATCTCTTCGCCGCTGCTCGATTGTGATGCCTGGGTGGAATCAGCAGCAGCAGCACAAATGCAAAAGTTGCTCCTTGTCTCAGAGCACCTGAGAGAGATATAAGCAACGAAAAAACAACAAAACACAGGGTAGGAGGTGACTCACATTCGCAAATTCGGCTCCGCAATGCTATGAATTCGAAGAGCCCAGGGCCTCGTTGGAACGTATCCAGAAGCCTAACAAAATAAAATATGAAAGAAAGAGATTTACATCTGAAACACCGGAGAACCCTCGTTACCCAGTGGCCATTTCCATTGGAAGACCGAATAGAGCAGAATGCTGAAGCAGCAGCAGCCGCCATTGTCGCCATTGCAACAACAGCTTCAAAAGAAAAGGGAGGGGATTCTGAACGAAACAAATCAGCTTTGATTCTCTTAAGTTAATGGATTTGAGTGTCCATAATTATTAATCGAAGAATAGCTACAAAACAGCAGCTGCAAATCAAGAATCAAACTCTACCTAAAGGGAAAAAAATCGCTGGACACGCACCTAAAAAGGAGAAGTACACGATCATCGCGCTCATAGAAAATCACGCATAAGGACGGGCTTCTTCACCGCGTTTGTAAATCCCTGAAGCCAAGAAAACGCTCAGCTATGCACCACAAAGAGAAGCGTCCGACCTCGTGAAATTTAAAGAGCAATGGCCTCGAATCTCTTTTAGCTGTTGAAACTTCCCGTTTGGAGGAGTGGCCTTCCGTGCTTCCTGTTCTAAACCTGCAACGACAGTGTGGATTTGAACAGCACAACGAACCTACCTGTCAAAGAAAGAAGCTTTCTTCAAGACAGTGTTTGCCTTGACAACTTCGGTCTTAGATGTTGTCACGAGTTTTCCAGTGGATGCTGAAGCTGATACGATAGTTCTCTTTTCAATGGTAGTAGACTTGACGATGGTATTATTGTTGGCAGAAACAGATGGCTTCTGCTGGAATGGTTTAGAGGACCGCTTTGCAGTTTCGCGTTTTATCGCTTCCATTTCAACCTGAAATATCGCATTACGCATGCATTCTTTGTGTATGAACTTCTGCACCTCGTGGCTCAGCATCTGTTGAATGGTTGAAGAAAGTTCTCCATGGCTGTGGGCGTATTCCTGATAGGCAAGGAAGAATGAACTTCAAAACTTATAACACAGAAACAATAACGATTACCTTGAAGGTTATAAAGGTATGCAGTGGAGGATCTAACAGGAATGCTTCCCCTGAGAACTTATGTACTGTGAGACTGTCAGCCTTGGACTTCTTGTACCGAAGTCCATAACTTATCATTGTATCCACAAGCTGCTTAAGGTCTTCGCGTTCTTGCTGAGAAAGGAGATTAGAAGCAACCTGCACGTACCACGGCATCAGTACATGAAAATACATTATCTAGTTCTTACGGGCCGCAACTTGGGAGCCAAAATCGATAACAAAGGAGAAAGAACATCCTGGATCAAAGAGGGGCACAAAATGGTTCGCGATAGGGCCGGTGTCATTGAAGTCAGCCACGACTTCAAAATTTCTGTGTTTGCTGCACGGACTTGACGATTTCTGGAACAACAGAAACCAGTCAGTACAGAATTTCTACAATATTAAACCGTACCTCTGAAATGATTTCGGCCACTCAAGCTTAGGCCGAACAGGCTGCGAAATCAAACGGCGAATAGCAAGTTTAAAAGAAGGTCGATACGCTGTTTCATGCAGAGTGAAAAGTCTTTGGAACAAGAACAAACGGTACCATTCAGAAAAAACTGCTGCTGCGAAGCTGTTTTTCGTCCAAAAATATCTGACGCGCCTATCACTTCCAGGCATTGAAGCTAAGAAGTAGCAATGAAGACCAATGAGGCAGAGAAAAACCAATTTCGATATTTACCGTCTTTTGGAGGTATACATCATGATAATGCACATGCAAGAAGTTCTCAAAAATACCCTCCATTCCAAGGTCATACTCTCCGCTGCATAAAAACATTAGCAAATAAGCCAATACTTCTAGAACTTTAGAACGTACTGGTTCGCATAAACGTCATGGACCCGACTGAACTCCGCGTGTGCCTGCTTCATTCTGGTTCTGTTTCTAGTCCAGAATGTCTAGCAAAACAGCATAAGCAGATAGAAAATGAACTGGAAGAAACTTACCTCAAGCCATATGTCGAACATGCTGCTGGTCATGTCTTTTTTACCAATAACCTGAGAAGCAACTTCTAGCTGCAAAGTAGAGCGCCTTAGAAAGTTTGATAAAAAAAAAATGGCAGGATTACCGCTTTCAGCGACTGTCCGTTCCGAAACAAGAACTGAAGAGTGTTTAAACACGAGCGAATATCTGATTCTGTAATTCGAGTCAAAAATTTGCGCCGACAGCAATTGTTTGTTACCAGTGTGCACAGCGAGGGCAGCTAGAGCGCGTGTGTCCACCTTGTAACCTTCTGACTTGCAAATGAAATTTAGTCTGCATAGACACCGTGAGTGGTTTTGAAGAGCAAATGAAAAAGTTACAACCTTGTCACTATCCTATGAGGACTTGGAGGAGAAAATATATGAATCCTGCCAAAACTGCTGTTAAGATACAAAAGAGATGGTGTTGCGGTACCGGGCAATTTGACGCAAAGGCCGTAAGGCAGGAGCATAAAGGTCGTTGCAAATGCAAATGATCTGTGCCACAAAAGTTGGCGAGGTTCTCTATAGGACGCAAGCTTAGGGGTCCCATATCGTTTAAACTGGTTATCAGAAGGTTGTGGCCCAAGCTTGTGTTGTTGCAAAGCTTTGAGAACCTCTTTAGGTGTAGAGTGCCTTTTAACACCGTAAACGCATAGATCCCACTGCTTCAACCAGCTCAAGACCTACTAATGAAAACGTTACACACAGGAAACAATTCGTAAAATCATGACATACCTCTCGATTGATCTGTTCATCGCTCAAAAGCTCGGTGAACGACTTCGGCGAGTATTTATCAACCCACAGCTGATCAATCCTCTCCGCCGAGACAGCGATAGGATCTTTTTCCTTCTCAGCGAGCTCGCAAGCCTTCGAGAAAATCCATGAAAATAAATTGATCAAGAACGAAGAGCTGCCATACTTGTTTGAACTGTTCGAGCTCCAGTTGTTCAATCATTTTCTCGACGGGCATCGAGAGAAGCTGGTCTGGAGCAACAAAGTCGAGTTAAGTTCGTCACGAGTCCAACTGATCATACCTTGTTTCTTATCACGCAGCACCGGCTGAGGAGAGAAGTTTCTATCAACTTCGGCATAGACTCGTTCACCTGATGGCCCAGTTATGGAAATCAGCTCCCCGGCAATGTCCGCCGCACGCTTTCGCGGGAAATGGTGTTGATCCAATTCTTCGCGAAAATTTTCTTCCCCATAAAAACTTTCTTCGCGGCAATCTTCGAGAACAATGGTACTTTCCTCTTCCACGGCAATCGCGCATTCCTTTCTCGCTATAGCATCTTGGACTCTCCTTGATTTGATCGGCGACACGCACACATCGGGAATCACGAGCTTTCTCTTCACTATAGGGGAAAAGAAAAAATCCATGAGAAATTTCAGAATGTAGGCCAAACCTGGCAGATCGCGCTGCGCATCCTCGCCGCCGCCGGCATTCAGATCCTCAAACCCTCCCCTGCCCTCCTCAAACCCATCGGAGCCCCGCCGCCGCTGGATCTGACCAAAGAACGCTTCATCCATGAGAAGCTCTTCGTCCTCCATGGCCTGACCCTGCTCCATCGCCATCCACTCGAGCTCATCGTCGCCAGGCGCCTCCATAGCCGCCAGAACTCAAAGCCCGCCAAAATGCCTTACATATTCTGCTAGCCCAAATATTCTGTTTAGCAGGTCAGAACATTCCGTCTATTTACAAAAGATTCCGTTTACAAAAAAAAAGGGAGGGAAAAACATCAATCCACAAACGGCAGAGGCACCGACTTGACAGCACGAAACTTTCCAACGTTGTTGAAATGCTCGTTCTCCAGCCTAGATCAAAGACATTGCGAATTTTAGAGCCAGAGAATCGAAGAGATGGAAGAATGTGACGAGATTTACCTGTAATAGTTCCATTGTCCACGCCTGATAACTTCCAGGCTAGCCACGATGAGCGACAGCCCCTTGGGATTTATCCCTGGCATCGAAATCGGTATCAAGGATTGGAGCCATGCGAATCTCAGCAAAATGTTGGACACCTACATTGTCACCGAGAGCTTTAGAACTGAAACCGATAAGTTGATGCAAGAACTTACAATGGCGAAGTAGTAGACCGACTTGTATGGGATAGCGAGCTTCTCCCTGAGCCAGGGATTGGCGGAGTTTCGCTCGAGAAGGCCCCAGTCGTAGACTAAATCCCAGTAAGTTGAGACGATGGCTGCTGTGGCGGAGATGGCGATGGTGAAGCCCAGCAGCAGTGGATCCTTGTGGTATCCGTAGGCCAGCCTCGCTGCCACGGCCAGGATCGCCGAGAAGTATTTGAGAGCGTTGTACAGCTGCATCACATCCTTCTCATCGTACCAACGCCGTAGACACTGTCATCAAGAGAAGGAGCTACGTAAGTTACCAAGGAGGAGCTCAACAGAATCTGCGAGACGAATGAAGTTACCTGCGAGAAACGGCACCAGTAAGGTAGCAACGCCATGACGAATCCAAACGTGATGAAGGTCGGGTTCTTGAGGCAGGCATTGCTGTTGCGGTCCTTGAAAAATCCACCGCCGAAGTAGCATAGAACGTATTCCAGATCTCTCAGTGCCGGAACCTGCAACTCAAAGTTTGTCACAAAGCTGAGAATGAGGCTGTCGGAATTTACCTGACTCGTAAGCTGGTCTGCGAGAAGAAAATCCGTGATGATAACCTGTCATATAAACAAAAGCATGAATAACAAGTTGATATATCACGAGAGACACTGCGAACCTTGTAGAATGGCGTCAATAGGCAATGCCAAAGGGCGTTCAGGAAAAAGTAACGGGTGGCGCGGTAGAGTATGTTGAATGGCATACAGAGAAGCACGACCATTCCCTGAAGCACACGGAAGCTCAGGCATTTGGTACAAAAAATCTATTAAAGCAAAATACTTACAGCGACAACGAGGAGCGGGATGATTTCCTGATATGTTTGGCAGCATCTCTCACCAGCCGTCAATTGCAAGTGTAGTATCAACCCACTCAGAGCTAATGTACTCAGCCCCGTTGCGAGCAAAAACACATCTCGGAAGCGTAGCTCGGACTTTCGGTTGAGCCCAAGAATAAACGTGTGATTTATTCTGGTCCTTCTCCACATATATATGTTTAGTCCGTAGAGGAAGAAGTGTAGCAGTACTGCTGTAAGCATACTGTAAAGAGAAGTATATCTCATGAGAAAGTTAGACAAGGATATTAGCTAAGGTTTCACCTGAAAATCGGGAACACTGCATCCATGTATGTCATAGCATATTCACGAACATATAGCCTCTCGACGCGAATGGTTAAAACGAGAGACACTAGAAGAGCAACAGAGAGACCAAAGAATACACCTGCGCAAACAAAGCTGTTAAGTCAACAAGGCACCTTGAGGACTCTCAAGAACATCGCATTACCTACAAAGAATGATATCCGGTGCCTCTCCTTCCGGGCCTCGGGTCTCAGAACTTGCATCGCGTCGCGACGGTTTGAATCCGTGAAATGCTTGGTGAACAGTACCTCTACTTTTTCCATAAGCTTTTGGATCTGAAAGTGAGAAACATCGAGTGGCATTAACACCGATTGAGAATATTAATGTGCGATCACTTACAATCTCAGATTGTCCGATGTGTGAATCTTCTACGGCTTTCATGTACTTCCTTCCAAGGTTCCGCTGAGTAACCTGGAGGCATCGTACAAAGAATCTGTGTAAGTCAAACCGGTGGATGTCAAAAAAGCTGGCTGACCTTGTTGTATTTTTTCAGGAGCTTCGAAAACGCAATTATGTTCAACGAGCTGCAGAGGAACAGGACAACATGAAACACGAACTTTCGAAAAGCGAACTTACGTACCAAAAGTTTCTCAAGATGTAAAGTCCCTTGTAAAACTCCACGAAGGCGTTCTGAAGCATCTCCTCGGCTCGCTTCAGTCGCCGCGAGTTTAAGTTCGTGATGGACTTGTTGGCCAGCTCCGCGAAGAGAGCAGCCAGCGCGTCGGCTGGCTTCGCCGCAGGGATGTCAATCTTTATCTGTCGCACGCTCCCTCCATCTTCCTCCACCACGGACAGGCGGCCATGGCTGCTAGCGTTGCTCTCCCCGTTTCCAGCGTCTAAGTTGTCCACGGATTTCTTTGCCGAGAGGAGAGCTTCCATCTGGGAATCCAGCGCCGTCGCCTGCGTCACGAGCTCCTTCTCCTTGGACTTGTAAAACTTGTTGAGCTTGGCCAGCTCCTCATCGAGCAGCCGAAAGAACGTTCTCTCGAGCTCGTTGTGCGGGCTACCAACACCCAAGAACGCTGTCTGGAACTCCATGCCATCGCTAGTTTGCTTTGGCTCGATCTATATCCACAAAAGAAAAAGTGTCACAACGTTAAGTGAATCCCGAAGAAGAAGAATCTCATACCAGGATCATCTCTTCCTCCCGTGCTTCCGGAGAGGTCGGCGATCGCGCCCCCCGCGGCGAATGCGCATGTTGGAATCCGCTGACGAGCCTCCGGAAGTTTGAGATCCTCCTGGAGAGCTGCGCCTCGCTCTCCTCATGGCTTTGCTTCTTGATCTTGGCCATATGCTTGACAATCTCCTTGCCGTGCCGGTAGTCCAAGTACGCCTCCCTCCATTCCGGGACCTGCTGCGTCTCAAACTGCTTGCCAAACTTCATCGCGATCGAGATCGATCCAGCGCGAGCGACAAAGAAATATCCCTCGGATAGATCGGCTCTCCCTCCTCGCAGATCCAAATCGGTCCCACTCTAATCGAAATGCTAAGCTCGCTCTCTCAGATCGGAAATCTCACCTCGCCCCACTCCGATTCATCCCAAATGCCAGTAAAATCTCACTAAGCGCTGCCGCCGCAACAGGAGCTGGAGAGATTTCCAGGAAGCAAACAAAGAATGGGGACCTAGGAACACACGTTATAAGCTAGGGCTTTATAGAACTCTATAGAAGTCATTCCAACTCGGTCCACTCTAATGTGGCACAAAATCACCATAGCCAAACACACCAGGACAGACTATTTGGCACACGTGGAAGAAATGCGGATTAATATCTAGCCTCTTGACCTGTACGTTAGAGAGAAAAAAGGACGATGCCAATTTTATCCATCACAAAGGATAAAGTAGTAGAATTGTGACTTTACTGTTTCTTGTTGGAACTTAAATATCAAAAGGGCTGGAGCCAATGATGATTCGTAAACATCAACTATTATATAATGGAACTGATGATATTTGCGCGTACACAAAAATTTTAGTGTTTTTATACACATGTCCAAAGGAGCCAGGAGTAAGCGCGAGCGATATATCCGGAAAGATTTCAATCTTGACAAGGCCACTTCGTTTTTCTTTTTCTACTGCTTCTCTACGTGCTTCTCTGCGCTTGTCGCCGCCGATGAAGACGACGACGATTGATGCTTTGACTTTTTGGACTTTTTGTGCGCGTTGGCGTGGCTCCGGCTCGGCTTCTTCACCTTCTTGCTACCACTGGAGTGCCAAGTTTTCTAGTCAGTTTGCTTGAGAGTGCAAGCTCAAATTCAACTCTTTACCTGAAGGTGCTCAACACCAAATGCATCGCTGCAGCCGCTGGTAGCACCAAAACCGCCATCGCCTATGAGAGGAGAAGCAAATTAGAGCTGTCAAACACGCAACTGGAAATAAATCTCTTACGAGAAACCAAACGAGCTCTTTACTCGCCGCCCAGCCTGCCGACACCTCGTGCTTCAATAAAAGCCCGCGAACTGAGTTTTGCATCTGAAAGAAAGTGAGACGAATCAGCAGCTGCCAGCAATATTCGGCTTCTAAGACTTACCTTATTGTGATAATTTACAGCCGAGGTCAGTGCCTCCTTGGAAACTTGATGCACCTTTTCGATGTGAGGAGCAGCGTATTCTTGAGATTTCTCGTAATAAGGACGGACGTACGCAGCAGCTTTGTCTACGTGCGGCCGAAGCTGTTTCCGTAGAGACTGCAAATGAGAGAAAGGATGTAAGAAACCTATCCGATACATGGACGATTGCAGACCTTGATGCGAGGCATAAGTTGTTCGTTCGCCTTAACAAAGTGGGGCGACAAGTGAACATTGTAGGCCTCTGACACTTTAGAAGCCAGAACTTTGCCGTTCGTGGAGACAGTATTCCAGTACGCACTCGCAGAAGGGCCTACTTTCTGGAGAAAAAATGAAGCTCATCTTAAAGCCATTGACAAAAGCAAGATAATCTGTACCTTCTTAAGAGTATCTACGTGAGGTTGAGCCCATTCCTTCGCCGTTGTGGCGTGTCGAGAGGCCTGATACAGATAATGGTTATAGATGAGACATGCTATTGAAGAAATAATCGGCTTACGTGCTCCGCAGCTTTCTTGAAAACTGGTTCACCGTGCAGGGTCCAATACACTGCCGAAGTTGACTATACACGCACAACAGATGAATGAAAATATCAACAAAAACACTTCTTACCTGTATCTGCGCTAGTCGGCCCGCGGCCCACGGTGGCAGCCAAGCCTCGTAAACCTGCAAATCTTGTCACAACGAACGACGAATGAAAAATCGAAACACCTTATAAAGTTCCTGAGCCTTCGCAGCTGCCTCGGACTCTGCCTTTAGCAGAAGATTCTCAGCTATCTTACGTGCCTCTTCAGCATCACGCGTTTTCTTTCGCAGATGGGCACTGCTCTTCTCGGCCTGGTTAGAAAAAGAGAATTTTTCTCGCATCAAAGGATTCGAAAAGGATAATCTTCGTGCAAACCTGTGCAAGTTTTGTGGTTAGCTCATCAATTTTGGCTTCCGACAATTCCAGCTTGTCTTGCAACTTCTGTGTGTTTTCCCTCGACTTTTTCAAGTTCCCCTCGAGTTGTTCCACCTAAAAGTCGCGGGTTACGACAGAACAACACGAAAGTACGACCAACAAATTCCACCTTTGATGATAATTCTTCCGCCTTTGCCTCCAGACTCTGAATTTTCTTCTCCAAATCGCCAGATGCCCGCTTCTACCCACAGCACAGTCACTTCCAGTCCAAAAAATCGATCTATAGCACTCACCTGGAGAGAATCTACTTCGCTCTCCAATGAAACGATTTTTTTGCTCTTCTCAAAGGACTCTTGCTTCGCTTGCTTTAAGTTGGAATCTGGCAAGGAGGAAAAACACATTAGACAATGTATGGATGATAAAAGGGATTTTCTCTACCTGTGACCGACAGCCGTGCCTCCAGCTCCGATACTTGCTTGCGGAGCTCGATAATCTCCCGATCGAGCTCAGCCTGCCTTAAGTCCCCATCCTCTACACCCGCATCGCCCCGAATTCCAACACACAAAATCGCGAAAACCAGCGCGAAGGACAGCAGCGCTCTCCAGATCAATGCCATTGATCCAGCCGCCGCTCCAAAAACCCTAGAACCCACTGCCCAGTCCCTCACACGAGTTTCCTTTCTATCTCCCCTTTCAATGTCTAGGGCTCGTGCCCCGGACGAACGCCTAAGATGGAGCCACGTGGTAGAATCAGCGACGTGGCGGCATGTAAGACGTCTAGCGTGGCGGTATCTTATGCATTCTTAGAACGAGAATAGAATATACATGGTCTTCAGTAGAGAGAGCCTCATGGAGAATTTAATAGAGCCTCACCTGAGAGCCACGATCAAAGAGTGACAAAAAAATTGATTTTTTCTTACCCCGAGTGTGGCCGAAGTGATGAGGTTCCCAACTATAAACATAGCAGCCAGAGCAAAGAAAAAATCCGTGAGCTTTGCTTGAGGATTCACCTGAAATGCCAGAGTTTTCCCTGTGGCTGAGAAAAAATGGAGTTTTTTGTGGAGTTACCTGGTCTCTATAGACGCTGAAGATCAAGTACGCTGCAACTGGAGCTCCCAGAACAGCAGTGGGAAGCCAAGATGGAATTTTGTCTTGAGCAGCTTGAGCTTGAGATTGGAACTCGTCGGCCATGGCGGAAAAGCCAATGAAACCGTGAATACCCGCGAGAGTTGCCAGGAGAAACGAGGGTGCCGTCGCTGGGCTCGTTGATCCGTTTCCTCCACCGCAAGTGTCGTCCTAAGAACATGAAAAGATCAACCCGACGAAAAATACTAGAAGGGGTTTACTTGCAAGTGTTGCTCGCAGGCGTTAAGAATTTGGTGAGCGAGCTTAGAGACTGCTTGAGCATAGTCCGGTGGATTGAGATTCTTGACCATCTCTTCAGCAGCCTGGATAAAATCTAGAAGTGAGCGATAGAAAAATAAAAGAACACAAGAGTAGAACAATCAAGCATTCATGAAGCATATCATCAAAGACGATCGAAACGCAATGGATAGAAGAATCCAAAACGATGGAGGATACAAGAAAAAGAACCATGAAACTCAAGCCGAGATCTCCAAGAAACAATCCAACAAGCTACTTCATACCTGGAAACTCGCCCTTCTTCTCAAATCCGCGACCGCTTCCTTGTAGTCCCACTGCTCGCCATTGCCATTCCCACCACTAGCAGCGCAGCTAACCCCCTGCGCCACTCTCGCCGCGCCAACCCTGGTCGCATCATTCATCCGGAGCGCCTCCCTGCGCAGCGCATCCACGCATCCCTCCCAGTCCAAATCCCGGCAAAGATCAATCAGCGTCGACGCCTCCTCCTCCTCCAGCTTGATCACCCCCTCCCAATTCTCAGGAGCTGCGGCCGCCAATCTCCGCCGCATTCTGGCGAAGAAGAGCGACGATCCATTTGGCAAGCTGCGATTTCGATGCGCGGGCAAAGCCGTGGAGAAGGATCCCGCGAAGAACTGGATAGACTCTGCCATGTCTGCCCTAAAACCAGAGGATACGGATTTTTTACTCTTGAAACCTAATTTTGTTACAAATACTCATTTTACTCTAAAACCCTAATTTTGTGAAAAATGCCCCTCGGTCGAGAAAGGAAGGATATATCAAACTCGTTGATAGAGGCGGTGGTGACGGTGCATGCTTTTGGAAGTTTTGGTCCCCATATAAGCTCGCGGCATGGGCAATTCCCAAGGTAGGCAATTCCAATCTTTCGAGAGTGCCCATCCTTCCCATCGCTCCACAAAGAGATGGGAGGAAGAGGATCCAGCAGAGTTACACTCACAGCCCTTCTCTTCTCCGCCTTGTTCTTGGCTCGTCTGGAAGCCCAGGTCCCCATCCCGGGCATCGGTGGCGGCGGCGGGGGCGGTATCCCAATTGGCGGCGGTGGTATCCCAATTGGCAGCGGCGGTATACCCGTGGGGAGCCTCCCGACCATACCGCCCGCGATAGCGCAGTCCATCATCGACACCCTGCGCACCGGCGGCTTCAGTCTGGCGGGATGGGCGATCAAGGCGCTGTCCAACTTCATCCCCGCCTACTCCACGCTCATGATCCCCACCAACGAGGCTATCGCGGCGTTCGTCAACCTCAACCAGTCCGAGATACCGTCGCTCCTGCTCTACCACGCGGTCACCGGCGTCCTGCCGTACGACGTCCTCTCGGAGTTCCCGGTTGGCCAGCGTCTGCCCACGCTGCTCTTCGGCAACCAGCTTGTGGTCACGGACAACAGCGCCGCGGGGTACCGCCTCAATACCGCGCGGATCGTGCGGCCCAACATGTGCGGCAACTCCACGAGCGTCGTGACGTGCCACGGTATCGACCGCGTGCTCAATCCCTCGTTTAGCCTGGCGTCCGCCAATGGGCCGGCGTCGGGGCCGTCGGGGGCGTTCGCGCCGGCCAACGCGCCCGGCGGTATGCCGCTGCAGCGCCCGCCGCCGGCGTTTGTAATCCCGGGCCCGGCCATCGCGCCCGGCGCGCCGCCCGTCACGGTGAACGTGGCGCCCGCGGGGGCCAACGAGACGGGCGGTGCCGCCAGCAGTACCGCGCGGTGCGGCCCGCCGGCCCCGGCGGCGTGCGTGGCGCTGTTACTATCGGCTCTTTACTGTTCCTTCGTGTCCATCCGATAGAGGGATGGCGGCATACTATATTTGTTTGTGACAGTTACCGTTTTACACGCTCTAGAATAAAAATGTATTACTTTTTACCATTCCGTACGGTCGTGTGCCGTGTACGTGCCGGCTAATGCGCCAGTCAGTCAAAACGCTCTCTTTTACCTCTGGTAGTGGAGCGTGACGAGAGAGCGTGGTTTTTAGGGTTCTTTGCTCTCTCTAGCTAGGTCTTTTCGTCTCGTCTCTTCGATTTAGAGCGGCGGTGCCGGCGGTACTCCACATTAGAGGTGAGCGGAAATTTTGGAAATTTCTCTTGTTTCTAGGCCCGCATTCTTCCATGGGGAGTATTTCTTAGCTATGTGTTTTGGTTCCTCTTTAGGAGATGGAGTTTTCCGGCCTTTTTCCGGCGGCCCTTGCGGCTCTGATCTACCTGAGCGTTGCTTCGTGCAACTCCGAAGGTTTGCTCGATTTTTTGCCTATGAGTGAAATCTCACTTTTGTTCCTCTTTTGGTTTACAGGCGATGCCCTCTACGCGCTGCGAAGAAGCCTGATTGACCCGGAGAATGTTCTGCAGAGCTGGGACCCGACCCTTGTGAATCCTTGCACCTGGTTCCACGTTACCTGTGATCGTCGGAATCATGTGACTCGCGTGTAAGTTCTCGTGATCGATCATCTTCCGAGTAAGTTTCTACGCCTAGAACTAAACTCTTTCTATGTGGACAGGGATCTGGGCAATGCTAACCTCTCCGGCGTTCTCGTCCCGGAGCTTGGAAGCCTCCAGCATCTCCAATACCTGTAAGTTCTTCTCAACAAGAAACACAAAGTTAGGAAGAGATTATAATCCTCGGTGCTCTCAGGGAGCTCTACAAGAACAACATCCGGGGCAAGATCCCGGAGGAGCTCGGCCAACTCAAGAGCCTGGTGAGCCTGGACTTGTACATGAACAACTTCACAGGGGAGCTTCCAGCGTCCCTTGGCAACCTCAAGTCGCTCGTCTTCCTGTAAGTGTCTTGGCCACCAGGAGCTTTAGTGCGCTTGACTGGTTCTTTTAAGACGTGCAGGCGGGTCAACAACAACCAGCTGAGAGGGCGAATCCCCCGTGAGCTCACCTCCATCGCGAGCCTTAAAGTCGTGTAAGTCCACTCACTCCCCAGGCGATTCCTGACAGAGTTCCTCTTTTCTTTTCTTCCGCCTCTACACTTTGTCTGACTCGCGTGCTCGGCTTTCCAGGGACGTTTCCTCGAACAACCTGTGCGGGACGATCCCGACTTCCGGCTCGTTCGCGAGATTCCCCGCAAAGAAGTGAGTCGTCTTTCTTGACCCAGCACTGTGACCGAGACTGATTCGTCTCTTGCTCGTCTGACTCGCAGCTTTGAGAACAATCCCCGCCTGGACGGTCCAGAGCTGCAAGGCTCGGTCTTCTACGAGACCGCGTGTACATGATGGATGGATGGACGGGTACTGCTAGTGGGTGGATTGATGGTTTTGGTAAAGAAAGAAGCCGTGATGTAGAGGGAAGTACGTTCGCTCGCCCCCTTCCACTTTTTCTCTCGTAGAGTTTGTAAATGCAGTGTTTTTCTGGAAGCAAGATAGAAAGAACTTATCATCCATCGTTTCGTAGCGTCCTCGTCGATGGCCGGAAGCTTCGCAAAGTGATTGTGGCGGCTCAAAGTCTTCCTGGGCGTGGTTTTAATGGCTTCTTTTTTCAGAGATATTGTGTTTGGTGCAAACACTAAGTGGAGAAAAATGTGCTGTGGATTTGGCATTAGATTGAGTGTCAAAATTTATCTTTTATACGATTTCTTCCCATGTGAGTGATGATCTAGTGGAACACTTTGACTTGGGACCGATTCTTTAATGACCATACCAACATCCTTTTTCATGTCAAAAAAATATCACGCTGGCATTTCGATTTCCAAATTATGTTAAAAATAATCGAGCTATTTCCGACAACACACGATCCCATTTTACTTGTGGAAATTTTCCAATTACACTAAATTGTTGTTTTTGTTGAGTAGAGGGATGGTTTTAAACTGTGAAAGCTGATGATACAAAAAAATGTGGAGAGCTTGGATTAGCTGCTCTAGGCTGTAATTTTTGTGCGCTTCCTTCTCCTTGGTTTCTTCTTTTTTGCTGGGTCTCTCTCTCTCTCTCTCTCCCTCTCCTCTCCTCTCCTCTCTTTGATCGATCCAATCTTAGAGATTTTGGATCCGCCGGGATGGGCAGCAAGAGGAGCTTTGAGGACCAACATAGGGAAGAAGAAGAAGAGCAAGAACAAGAGGAACAAGAAGATCAAGGAAGAGTTCCAGGCGTGGGAGGAGAGGGAACAGCAAGGTATCCCAAGAGGTTGAATCTAAATTCCAGACTAGAGGAAGAAGAAGAAGGCCAGGCATTAGAACTAGATCGAGGCGACGATCTCGATCAAGCTAGAATCGTCGCTGCTGGGTGTCAAGATCCCAAGCTGGATCATCGTGGTCGTCATCACGAGCTCGAGAATGAAGAGATGGAGGAGGAGGAGGAGGAGGATAGCAGCGCGATCGTGACAAGGGAATTCGAGGTGTGTGGCGAGGAGATTCTAACTTCCTCCTCGACTTCGCCGGCGGCGGCGGCGGCGGCGGTGGCTCATTGTTTCCTTGGCGGGGCCACCACCAAGCTTGGATTCTTGTCAAGGGACCTGGATCACCACCATCTCTCAAAGCAAGATCACGTCGCCAAGGCGAGAGAGCACTGGAGATCATCCCTCTCGTCCAGCACTTCCGTTGTGTCGGAGGGCAGCACGTCGCTGGGATCATCCTCAGATCATCAAAGCCCCGCCGCCGCCGCTGCCGCTGCTACCGCCGCCATCGCTCCTCTCGCGCCGGTTGCTCTTCACGCTGCCAGCACTGCTGCTGAGAACCACGCGTCGATCGCCACCACCACCACCAATCGCCAATTCTCTTGCACTTACTGTGACCGAAAGTTCCCAAGCTCGCAGGCGCTGGGTGGCCACCAAAACGCGCACAAGAGGGAGAGAACTGCCGCTCGACGAGCTCACAGTGCTAGGACCGCCGCCGCCGCCACCACCACCACCGCTATCACCCCCACCATCGGTTTTCCCGGCGGAAGCTCGGGCTCCGCGTTCCACGGGGTTTAACGCCGCCGCCGCCGCCGCCAACAGGCCCCTGGGAGTGGAATCCCAGTCCACCGTCGCCACGGCACCAAGTAGTCTTCACAAGAACTCCACTCTGCCATCGTCGTCCCACCCAAACTCTGGCGAGCACCACCATAGCTCCAGCTTCTCCGGATTTGGATTCCACCACCCATCATTGAGCGGCCTGGACTCCAAAGGTTGGTGCGCTGCTGCCAGAGCTGCTTCTTCGTTTCTCGCGGGATCGTCGTCTCAACAGCAACACCAGCTGCAAAGAAGCCCGTCGGCCGAGATGTTTGGTCACGGAGTTAAGTCGGGTGTTCGGTTTCATATCAATGGTTTGGTCGGAGGAGCTCCGGCGGCGGAAGAGCAGCAGCACTACCAACACCAACAGCAGCAACAGCAGCAGCACCAATGCAACCTGTCGTCGTTGAAGAACTCTGATCCATTCGAGGATGACTCGGGCGAGCTGGATCTCTCGCTGAGACTAGGAACGAAGCGGCACTGATGGTTTAGGATGTCTACGTTCACTTTCCTTTGCAACGCTTTTTCACCCTTTTTAACGTTTGTTCGTAGCCGTCCAAACTGTCGTGCTTGCTCGATCTTGCTATACTTTACAGTCTTTCGAGTTGTCTAACGCTGATCGCGACAATACCACCACCTCGAAGTAATGCCTCGGGCGAAGAAATCCTTGTTTTGCTTTGCGGGTTGATTCTCTTCCTCGTGTTGTTATCTCGTTGTCTCTTCTCAATCAGTCCTCAATCATGGTGGCAACATGCTCTTCTTTCTCTTCCTCTTCGCATCTTGGTGGATGTTTCACCTTCTTCTGCCTGGTCAAACAAGTTGGCATAGAGTTTCCACAAAAATCGTTTAGTTTATCATACCGGATCCGTGGTGATCATATTCCTTCCTTGTAACACTTTGAAATGAGCACGCATTGATTCGTTCACGGTTCCATACACTAAAAAAAGGCAGCAAGCGTTTCCAAGGCGAGAATGAATGCCGACTTTAAACAAAAAGCAGGAGAAGATTATGCGTGGAATTTTTCAAGCACCGATAGAAGCTTCACCCACATCACACCTACGTCGAAGTCAAGGATTGCAAGACCATAAGTAGGAGTGGAATACTACGCACAAACAGTGGGAAACTTACAAATTGCATTTGGTCGAAGAAAACGCAGGATGTGACTGTTTAGACATCAAGATTCTGCTGTTTGAACTGAGCTGCTGATTTTAGGATGAGCTCCTTCCTTGGTTCCACCTGCCAAAGTCCCACTACTCAGTCAGACCAACTAGGTTCGAATCACTCACTTTGTCTCCCATGAGGCGAGAAAAGGTAAAACTTGCTTCCACAGCGTCCTCTAGCGTCAGCTTTTTGAGCATTCGCTTGGATGGATCCAATGTCGTATCCCATAGTTGAAGAGGCATCATCTCGCCCAAACCTGCAATCTTGCCAAATGAGTTGTGAACTTTTCTGCTAAGTATGCCATTACCTTTAAACCTTTGGATATTGTAAGGAGCATTGGCGGCAAACGTTCCCAGCAATCCCTGCAGCTCATTCTCGCTGTAGCAATAGTGAGCATGCTTTCCTCTCTCGACCTGTGAATTATGTTTAGAATCGAGAAACCAAACGAGCTTTAAACAGACCTTGTACAAGGGTGGCACGCCAACGTAGATGTATCCGCCATCAAACAAAGCTCTCTACAACGTCATCAACAATCAAAGCCTGCGCATAATCGAAAGATCTATACCTGGTATCTGAAGAAAAATGTGAGTAGTAACGTTCGTATGTGAGCACCATCGACGTCTGCATCTGTGAGTATAATTATCTTGTGATAACGAAGAGTGTCTTTATGAAACTCTTCCCCCTGCAAACAAACATCAGGTTAACAGGAAAAAAAAACAATATCAACAAATCTACCCTGGTTCCAAGTCCCAAAGCAACTATCAGGTCCTGAATTTCCTGATTCTTGTAAATAGCAGCATCGTCCTTCCTCTCTATGTTGAGGATTTTTCCTTTGAGTGGAAGTATTGCCTGTAAACATCCACTCTACGTAAAAATGAAAATGCCAGGGATAAATCACCTGGAACGCCCGGTCGCGACCCTGTTTCGCGCTACCACCAGCGGATTCCCCTTCAACGATGAATATTTCTAGAAATTCGAAAACAAATCATGTGCGTATACATAAGGTCGCGCTTACCTGACACTCGTGGATCGCTGGACGTACAATCTGCAAGCTTTCCTGGCAAGGTTGACGTTTTCAAAACGTTCTTCCGCCTCACTAATTCTCTCGCTTTCTTGGCAGCCTCAGCCGCCTACAAGTAGCACAGTAAGCTAGACGTCAATAAAAGTATGAACAGAGGTACCTTGTAAGCCTGAAGAGCTTTCGACAGGATGGCCTCGAGCGTGTCGGGACGAAATTCAAGGTACTCAGTCACTTGTTCAATAACAGCTTGCTCGACAATCTTACGAACTTCCACGTTACCCAGGCGTGTCTGGGTGATAGGATAGATCACGAGTCGGAAAATCCAGAGAAAAACAAACCAACCTTTGTCTGACCCTCAAACTCCGGCTCGGGAACTTTCACCGAAATGACACAAGTGAGACCTTCTCTAGCATGTTCACCGGATAAATTATCGCCTTTCTCCTGAATAAAAGACACGTAAGGAAGCAAGGTTTCAGATCATGAAGAAGACGTACTCTGATTGCCTTGCTTCTCCTTCCGAGGATATTTAGAGTACGCGTCAGGCCCATTTTCAAGCCATCTAGGTGCGTACCACCATCTGCTGTTCGTATGCTATTTGCGTAGCCCAGCAATGTATCGGAGTAGGCATCAGAACACCTGTCAAGCGGGAGCTCAGACATTACGATACTTACGTAGAAGGTGCTCACCATTGCATGGAGACGTTAACAGAGATATCGTCTTTTTCTACACTGAAAGAAATTGGATCGTGAATTTTCGTCTGGCACAAAGCGGATTAGTAGCCGAAGAAGATTTGAAAGTAAAACCTTATCCTGGTTCAGCCACTCTACATACTCAACGAGGCCACCACCAAAATGAAACACCTCGTCGGTAGTAGCACTTTCCTCTTTGAGATTAATAGTAACCTGTAAACGATGTTGTGTAAGAACCGCGGAAAGGAAAACAACACCAAACCTCTGGATTCAAAAATGCAACTTCTCTCAGACGACTAGATACGATGTTTGGATCGAATGCAGTCGTTGTTGTGAAGACTGTTATGGCGATGGTTGCCAGTCAGCTAATGTAAAGGACTAAAAGAGCGTACCTTCGTCGTCAGGAAGGAACTTCACGCAAGTCCCTGTCCGGCTCGAGCTTTCTCTGGGAAGACTTCTTGTTGTAAGGCTGCCAACAGCCTTCCCTCGCTGAAAAACCTGTCGGTACTCCTGGCCGTTACGCCAGACTGTAGCTTCCAACCTCTATAAGAAGCAAAGTGAGCAGCTTGGATATGAAAGTACGCGATCTACCTTAGATAGCGCATTTACAACTGACACGCCGACGCCATGAAGACCACCGGATACAGTATATCCGCTCTCATCACCACCGAATTTACCACCGGCATGAAGGACCTGTATTACTTACAGTGAGATGGAGAAACTCATTCAAGAACAAGTACCGTTAAAACAGTCTCGAGAGTAGACTTTCCAGTAGCTGGATGGACATCAGTTGGAATCTGCACTGACAATAGTGCTAGTTAACAAAACGAACGCTTTAAAGATCTCTTACCCCACGGCCATTGTCTGTAATACTGACTGAGCCATCGGAGTGAAGCACAACGTCGACTTGAGTAGCGAATCCAGCCTGAACCTCGTCAATGGCATTGTCCAGCACTTCATAAATCTTCCCAGAAGAACCAAAGGAAAAAACGAGAGAAAATCAGCGAAAGCATGAGTTAGGAAAGAAAAAAACGATACCAGATGGTGAAGACCTCGAGGACCAGTGCTCCCGATGTACATCCCTGGACGCCGTCTTACTGGCTCCAATCCTTCTAAAACCTTCCCAATCACCAGGAAAAAAATTTAGAGACATCAAAAACAACAACAACGTACCTGTATCTTTCCCGCATCGTATGAGGTTGGAGCTGCAGCAGGCGCTTGTGTAACAGCAGTGGCGGTGACAAAAAGCCGATGCTTTGGAAGTGATTCACATCGAACGGTCCTGAGCCTAGAACAGGCGAAAGAATCGAGCTTGCACTGGAAAGCATATAGATGCACAAACCTGGGCAATCTCGTCGGCGGAGCCCGAAATGCGACTCCCTGGTGAATGTGCCGCGGCGCCGGCACCAGTCTTCCGCGGAGAAAGATGGAAGACGACATTCTCGCGGCTGCCGAGCGCAGCGCCAGGGGCGAGGCGGCGAGAAATATCGCGCAGTGCGCCATGATTTGAATGGGGAAGAGCCCCTTAGGGCTTTGGGTTTTGGCCGATTAATATAGAACTTCTGTTAGCATATTTTATGTTTATATAATTCCTTGGACTTTTTTTTTTGTAATTTCAAAACTTACCACTATGAATGAACGTTACTAACAAGTTATTCGTAAAACCTGTATAAATTTGACCTTATGCTTTTTATTATGTATAAATTTATGATAAAAATATTAGTTTAGGTATTATATTGCTAGCATCACTTATTAAATTCAAAATGATGCATAAATAAGTCACTATAAATTTAATTGAGTACTATTCCATTAATTGTATTTTTTGTTTTACTAAAATGAGAAGCATTCTATCCATATATAGTAATACAAAAGAAAAAATTTAATGCAGCTACAATGTTATATACTATTATTAGCATAGTGATAGCAGTTAGCTTTGTTTCAATCTAAACCACTTGCTTTTGTATATAAACTAAGGTTTTTGGGTTAAATAATATCCACACTTCTATATTCTATTTTCATATTATATACATTCACATTAGTAAAGGTGAGGGGTAGTTTTGATTGTCCCTGAGGAGTGTTAGGATTTAAGATTTTGATTTAGATTAGCTTTTGCATTGTTTGAATCTTTATTTTCTTATAGCTTTTCTTAATTCATTCTCTTTTGTTTTTTCCTTTTCATTCATTTTCATAGTAGAGTAGCAACCTCTTCCTCCTTTGACTCTAGAGTAATAATTAGTGCAATTACTTAATGTTATATAGTTGTAGTTAAATAATTAAACTCAGTTGATAGCAATATTCATAGCATATGGTATAGCTCCTCTTGCTCTTGTTGTCAACCCCTATGTCTGGGTAGAGTTTTTCCATGGGAATCTTAGGGATGATGTGTACTATTGATTTGATTATTTTACAGTGATTGCCATATATCATTCTTGGAATAATGCTTAACATTTGCATGATTTTCCCACGTATCTCAAAACAATGGCACTATAAGGTACAATGGTTTGAGTGTAGCCACTCATGAAGATTAAAGCATTCTCCCAAACATCTTCAAATGCATATTTAGACATATTGATAATTATGATAATGCCTTTTAATAATTACATCATCTTTGTT